AAATATTAATGCTAGCGAAAACGTTTTACACAGAAATTGTAGATCTCGTCGTCCTCTTTACAAAAAAGGTCCTATACAATTTTCCCGTAGATTCAACGGTTTAGGAGTAATTAAGGAAAAATGAAATTTTTTGCTAAAAGTTCGCCGTTTCGACGCTGAGATGGTCGGATTTTGCCAACGTCAATAAAATACCAAATAATCATACGTAACTCGTTAAATATCCAAGTTAGAAGGATTAGAACTTTTATTTCAAGCATTTTTCGCAATTTTGAAAAAAAAAATTTTTCGTCAGCGTCAATACTTAAGCTATTTATTATTAGCATTATTCTTCCGACGTCTGATTTCTTTTTAATTATAGGAAATGCGTTTTTCTGAGGTACATAAACTTTTCGGATTGACTGTATAGCCAATACATCCTTAAACCTGCACCGAACTGAAACACCAGCGCCAAGTTCTAGTCGAATGTAAAAAATGTAATGTATAGAATATTATCAGCGGTGTTAAAGATTTTTCAACTCTTATAATCTGATGATAAAAGAGAATGCTCTACTGCTACACATCATGTTAGAGCCTGGCAAAAATACGTTGGTCGATATCTCTATTCTATATATAGTATAGTACTACCCATTTATTCTGTGATACAAATATAAATTATTTAAGAAGAATATCGCGATAACCCGTGGTAGAGAAATATAGTGTTATATACCGCACGCACGCCTCACCATGTATTTCCATACGTGCCTGCGCCAAGTTCGCGATCCCGCAAACCGAAGTTAGCTGCGCGAAAAAGTTAAACGAGAGCATTAAATCGGAGGAACGCGGGTTCGATGTAGCTCGCATACCGAGCACTTATCGCGACCCAGTTCTTTTGCTCGATTAAAGCGATGTTTACGGAAACGCGGCTCGCGAATTTAACGCTGTACCCCACTTTAAATCTTCCTCTATTACGTCTCTACGTTCAACGTTTTACATGATCGATGCAATAATCGATGTAGCCATTGATATGCACATAAATACAGTGTTTGATACAACGATCGACGTTATATTTCATACGGAAATTAACATATGTTCCAATTAAAGATAGAATATTCAATACCGTAATTGATACAACAATTCATGTACTAATCGATACTACATTTCCTATAGTGATCGTTACAATATTTAATACGGTAATTGATATGACTAATACCTGACAGGAACATTATTACACTCAGGATGCGCGTAAACGAGCACTTGCATTTATTATACCATTTGAGATGATCAACTGCGGAGGAATACATACATACGTTACGCTACTCACGCATCTATGTACTATAACTCTTCTCGTACCTTTTTTTTCTCTTCGTGCTATAAATTCTTTCCCTCAACAGTACGTACAGGCATCGTTTATGGATATCTTTCATGGAACTTATTGTACCTCTTCGGAAATTAAAAATTCTGAAAGGGGAAATCGAATGCCACACAAGTCTAATGAAATCCTAATTGAATTAATCCACCTAAACCTGTTTTTATCAATTAGCAAGATTTACTTTCGTCGTCGTAACGAGCACGTTCAGGAACGAATTCTGCAAATTAGTATGTGAATGTAAATTTTCTGTGAACGCTTAATGAAGTCGGGACGGCAATTATTCTTCTACTTCGTGATCATGGAAATTGCCACATTTGAAATTCATGCCACGGACGGAGGCGAAGTGCGTGTCGATGGGATCGATCTACAAACGGGTCACCATCAGTTGCGACACCTTTACACACACACACACACACACACACACACACACACAGTCGATCTATTTCTCATTTCTCTTCTCTCAATTTGTACTTACGTCGGTGAGACCTTTTACAAATTAAAGTATGTGTGAAATACACGTCTTTACAGTTTTTACAAATCTTTCATTGAAATACGAGACACGTCGATCATTGATCGAGTTATCGTATCAATCGTTATGTGGACGTTCTATCAAGTGTATCAAATTTTCCAACGATCATTTATATGACACATAGCTTAGCGTTTCCAATTGTGTAATCAATACTAGAACGGTACGCCAGTCGCGTCAGTGGTCTCGAATCTGTTAAAGGAACTTTGCGAATGAATCGCTGTCGTTCGATAAAATCGCGTTCCATTTAGATCGTGCGTTAATTCGCAAAAACACTGTTTCCTCAATCAAATTATCCGCACTCTCGCTCTCGAAACGATTTTTGTGGAAATAATGTCGGAGAGCCGGTGCCGATCGAATCAAGTCGAGGCTTGAAGTTGAAAAAGAACGGGAAGATCCCAATCGAGTTTGAAGAGCTATTTCACACGAGCTGACGCACGGGTGGCAATCTATTATACCTCGCAGGTCTCCTCCCTCTGTCCCGGCCGATGACATCCAGTTAAATTAACTCCTTCAAGCACACGTTCAATTTCCCAATCACTTCTCCATGGCATCGTATCGATTAACGATAAATATGTCGATCAACGCACGCCATTGATAACCGTTTGACATTTCACCTATGTACGACAGAACAGACTTTTATGCAAAATCGTAGTTGTATCAATCTCGAGATTGAAAATCAGCAAGAAATTCATTTCGTCCCTTAAACATGTTCTTATGCACAGACTGGAGGCTTTCGTATAAAAATCAGTAGTACAAATTTAAAGAACAAAATTTTATTTTATTTTGGTCATTAAAAATTTGTAACGTAAGCGTTCGAATACTTTCGTAAGCCACTGTATATTTCTGTCGGTAAATGCACACGCGCTTACATAGTAGAACAACAAACACGAAGATTATTTTGCCTAAATTGGATGAATAATTTGTTAGCAATTTCTGTTGCAGAGTTTCACTTGGAACTTGGGGAGGCCGGTGGACGTGGCGGAAGTGTTGCAATTGTCGGTGGTATCGCGGGGCGTGTTGAGGAACGAGAAGGTGCTGGCGAAATACGGACTGGTTCTGCAGACGGTGGTGCAGGAAGGTCGGATCGTGGTTACGGATTCGTTGGTCGACTTCAATAACAAACCGCTTCCGGTACGTCGAAATTTACTTTCGCGTTCGATCTCGTGGTTCGTAGCGTACATGCGTTGATTCACGAGAACGGAGTGTGATCACAAACGAGATAAATCACCACCAGACGTACCGCCCATCATGGACTCCTGCGTCTGCCGATCGACTGGCGCGACTTGGCGACAATGCCGGGACGAAAAATTGACCCTGACACCAGTGTCCGCCCTCGGAAACGGTGCTCGATCACGCTTAAACCTCATTCGAGTAACATTGCACGTGATTGCGTTTCCTGGTTCTCTTTCCCTGGAAACGAGACGAGCCTCGTCTCGCCTCTCGTTCGTTCTACTTTCAGTCCAGCGAAATTTAATCAGACGTTCACAGTTCGTTCGTAACGTTACTTCGTAATCTTGAAGTACGTTCAAAGTACGAAAATGTACGAACGTTGATTTCGGGCATGTTTGTGAACGGATGAAATGAAAATGTCACAATTCGTTTTCATTCATTCATTAATTAGAATTTAACCATTACTACGATCTGTTACCACTGTTTCCTACTCTAACGCAGAGGACGGCAGACAAAAAAAATACGTTGGTCGTTTGGTCTGCCCGTGCCTAGCTCGTGAAAATCATTCCGTCCATCAATGTTGAAGTAGATGAACATTTGTTGAACATCCAAACAGCGTTCGACAGGCTGTCAAGTGATCAAGCGTATTCGGTTTTGGCACGCGTAGGCTGTGATCTGTTTCGAAATCCGATACAATCCGCCGGACGGAAGCTGCAGCTCGTACGCGGCGTCGGAGATAATGGAGGACGAGCAACAGATGCTGATCGACATCGAGCAGAACATCGCGAATCTCGAGAGGAGCCTCGAGCAGGCGAACAGCGCCTCCGGGAAGAGGAAGGGCTCCTGGCACGGCCCGGACAAAACGTCCAAGAGAGGTCTGCTCCAGAAGGGCGCCTCGTTGTTAACGGCTGACAAGTCACAGGATCGCAAGAGGTGAGCCGTTCCTAACGAATCGTTCCACCTCGTTCCAATTTTCCCCTTTGTTCTAAACGTAGAAAACACAAAAGCGAGGAAAGAACAATTGAAATCAATCTGCATGTATTTGCTAACCGAGTCTCGTGGAAGAGGCAGGAAGCTCTGTTCTTCGGACAGAATCGAGCGTTTAGAATACTCAGGCAGGACTTGGACACTCACGATATGGAAATAAAGATGAAAAAACATAACCATCCTCTTCTCTAACGTATATTTACATATCGTTACGTAGTTCGGCTTGTGTTACGTTCATAAATGAGCAACGTCGATCTAACATGTATTTTCTAAACATATTGTAAAACGGAGCTACCTCTTCCACGAGACTGTTTAATTTGCATACACAGGGTTGGGCACAGCCCAACTGTTATAATTATATTCAATTATCTTCAATGTCTCGTACCGGTTTTGGAAATTTCCACGTTATTCCCGCAAGCCGAAACACGGCACGGCTACTCTATCGTTCGCGATCTTTCGATATCTTTATACGCGATTACGATTTTTTTATGGGAATGCCCGTACGCCAGGTGATCTTGGAGATCGAAATAAGTTCAGTAGTCAGCTGGAGTCGTTATTCTTTATACGGCTCCGATGGCAGTTCCACGTATAATTAAGATTCACGTTTCAGTGTTTACGACGACACGTTACTTAAACGTATCGTAACTTTCCTTCATTTATTCATCGTTCTACCAAGTATTACTTTTATTATTGTACTATTACTCTCATTTATACGTTATACTTATTTCTACAGTCTCTTAACAAGATTCGTTTCGAAAGCAAAACTCTTCTCATCGTTGGCAAACAGACAAATTAATTATGAAACCAAATGTACAAGTTACCTATCATTAACTTGGTTGAGTCTGTTCTAAAACCGGGCAAACAGAGTTAATTAAATGTTGCGCAATTTTGTTTTATTCATTCACTGTCCTACTCTTGTTTTACTTCATTGTACTGTTACATTTTTCATCGTCGACTCGGTAACCGGATAAATTAATTATAAAATGCGCCAAAATCGAGTTCGAGAATAAAAACAGAATGGAAACGTTCGTACACAGCAGGCCCTCGCGACTGAAAACGATAGGGTCCATCATAAAACTGGGCAAGCAGAGACCACCCAGGGCCCGTTCGTGCGACGGTAGTTCAGACACGAGCGAACTGCTCGAGAGTCGAGATTCGAGCTGTGCCACGTCCAACGAACCTTCCAGGACCAACTCGATGACCTCCTTGGAGACGAACGTATCCGACAACGATAGCCAGGTCAGGCCGACCACCGCCGAACCCCAAGAGGCCGTCGCTAAGCCGACCAAGAAACCGAAACCCAAGGTGAGACAATGATGGCTGGAATCGTGGCGTTTAGAGGTGCTATTCCCAGTCCGGAGAACGCGTAATTTTTTTAATCACGTACAACGAAAGTGATTAATAGACTGCCGATTCTTACGCATTTATAGAGAACGCGTGTGCAAGAAAATCCACCGAAAGTACGTTCTTCGAAATATGAAAAAAAAGTTTAAAAAGATATGGTTTTACATAAAAATCCGCGATCTGTTATCTACTTCCGTTGTACATCGACCGTGTCAAATGAAATGTAATCAAATGAAAAGACGATTCTGTGCGTTCGATCGACGGAACACGATGGACGTGTGATAATAATGTTCGGCGACCGCTGCGCTGTAACTGAACAGTATTCTTGCTAAAGTCTCGACGAACTTCGGGAAACTTATAACAAGCTGCACGCCTTAACGAACGCGAAACTGTACGATAACTTCTGCTTTTCCTTTAATAGAAAACGGAGACGTTAAGAAATATCGAGTGCACCGATGCGCATTAATATTCGATTAACTTTCTTCCTCTACGGAATCGAATAATTTCATCTTCTCTGAAACGACTTTGGACGACTCCGTCCATTGGGCGACGGTAACGACGAGATCTCCGACAATGATCGCGATTTTTTATACCAAGCGAGAATCTTAAAATTAACACTGGCGAACGCACGACGAGAGACGCTAGTACGTCTACAATAAAATAGACGAATGAAACGTGTTCAATACTGCGACAAACTATATGTATAAAAGTGCAACAAAATGTATAAATGAATTATTCTGCCATTTATATCGTTTAAGGATCTTCTCTCCCAATATCTGGTATCTAGGCCGCATCGTTCTAAACAAGTGGTAACATTAATTGCTAAGAAGTAAAAGCGGTGACTTACTGGCACCGTAAGTAACAAAAGTACCCGATATAATCCGGTGTCGGTTGAAAACGCACGCAAGAGAGCTCTCGTTAATCAATTCCGCGTCGACGTGTCTGAAGAAATTGCAAATAAAACGGTGAAGCAGGATAAATCGGCATCCCGGGCCTCACGGACGGAAGGGAATCGAGCGAGTTCCGACCACGGATAAGTTGCGTAAACGACCTTCGCATAAGAATTTGTTCGCGGAGATCGTTCTTCCCGACACGACTCATCGATTCTCCCAGCAGACAATTTCAATACACGTGTCTGCGGCCGGAGAAGAGTCGGAACGTTATTCTTCAATACGTTTTCACGAGAACATTACGATCTGGTAAATATTCGTTGTATGGCCAGGGGACAAGTGTAAAAGTTTTGTGTCAAACGTTCCATGTGCGAGAGATCGTTTTCGTACGACGTACGAAAGAATTTCGACACGATGGTCATACGATGGATCGTACCGTGTTCTGCGTCAATCTTCTCCGGTTCACGTTCCGGTTCGACACGAGATCGCATATAAAATTATGTAAAATTATGAAAAAAAGGCAGTGAACAGACACTGCGACGTGAACAGAAATTGGGAACTGCAGCAGGGAAAAAATTTCGTTCGTCGCGACCCCCCGAATCAGGACTTGGTCAAATAGCGTTGTTTTCGTTATCGTAGACCACGGACACCGGGCAAGCCGCGTTGAAGGCGCAAGATTACCAAGTTTGTGTCACCGTCATTGAGGCCAGGCAGCTGGCGGGGTTGAACATGGATCCAGTGGTCTGCGTGCAGGTCGGGGATCAACGTAAATACACCAGCGTCAAAGAATCGACCAACTGCCCGTATTACAACGAGGTAATTCCGATTCCTCTTCAACCGCGACGATCAGTTTTTCTCGTAAAACTCCTGTGTCGCATTCGTACTTTGAAAACTGAGATTTCGTTACGGGACAGCGAATCTATTAAGGAACAGAAATTGTCCCCCCTTTACGGTTACGCACATTAAAAACTTATTCTCTACTGCCACTTACCAATGATCGCTACCGTGACATAGGTCTAAGAAAGACTCACTTCCGCACCGCCGAAGTCGGCGATGTCACTATTCGATAGGGCAAGCCTGGTTCAATAGAGAGTAGATCTTCAAATTGTAAAAAGACTCAATCTCCTAGATTTTAGAAGGGGTGGCCTGGGACACCCTGTACGCATATACGTTCCTCCATTTAAAACCAGTGACTTTTACTGGTTTGGTAGTTCCGGTATTAAAAAGAATTTATCTTCGGGCTACCACGTCTGTCGACAGATCACTTTTTGATAAAGTGCAAGCGAGCTTTCCAAGTTTCATCGATTTTCATTCGTCCTTTCTTTCGGTACTTGCAATTCTATTTTTTTTTAAATTTCATGTAAAGCTATTGAAAATATTTCAAAATATTGTTTCGTGTTTTGTTTTCAGTACTTCGTGTTCGATTTTCACATGCCGCCCGTGATGCTGTTCGACAAGATAATCACGCTATCGGTAAGCCAGCCACAGCCACTATAGTTCACTTTGTACAGCCGCTGACAATAGAAATTATTAGGAAGCTACTCGCTTCGTTACTTACTTAGATACTCAGACAAATCGATATACCCTATTAACCAACGCGCCAGCCGACGAGAAGCCGCTAGAATCGCTTGCTGTTTTAAATAAAATGTTCTCGGCAATTGTGAGTTTATTCGATTGCGTGAACCGTGTTGATCGTTTAATCACCTGGTATTTGACTCGTTCGTTTCACCCGTTCGTTCGAGAATTTCAAGACAGGAATTAATTGCCGCCAACGTTGTATTTAAACGATCTCATTCCTCGTTCGGCTGACAAATAGAATCGATAATTATTTACGACCCAAGCCGGTGGCTTTTGATCGATTAGATCTAATTCAAGTCGATTGCACTCTTAACGAGCACGCTCATCTCGGAAAAATGCAGAGAATCTTCTGTTACGAAAGTGCAACTTGGTTCTAAAAGAGGTGACGAACGAAAGCGGGTAAATTCGTTTCACGTATGAGCACGTATCCCATAAGGAGAAACGCATGGACACGTTCGTACAAGAGAGAAATGGGAGAGTGAAAGAGAGACGCGCGATCACTGGAAGACGAACCAGAGGCGGGCGATTAAAGATCACTCGGAAGTGAACACATTCTACTGTGATGCGCAGGTGCAGCAATCGCGGAATCTCTTACGCGCTAATCTAACGCTGGGCAGCTTTAAGTTAGACATCGCGACGGTATGGGCGCAACCAGGTACAATTTTCCAAATGGGACCACTAACAATTACTTAACTCTCATTACCTGTCTGACTGTCTCTCTCACTTCTTGCTCCGTGACCATTACAACAATACGTACCTATCGTCGTCTCGCTGTTGGATGTTCTCCCAATTTTCAATCGACAATCTTCATACACGAGCCCATACACCAACTATTTGTCGTACTATCTTTATTAAACGGTTCACGTTACAGTTTTATTAGACAATTTATATTACACAGTGTTATTGAACGATATTTCATTCAGCACATCGTCCTACTGAGTTTCCGTCGTTACACACAGCGAGTCTTGATTCTACACCGATTTCAGCGGGATTAATCAGCATTATGCATGTTTCCCACGTTCTGTTCGGCGATCTCGTTTATTACCGATAAATGGGATCAAAGCGAACGAATATAAATGTAAATATGCTTGTTTGAATGCGTCCGTGGCGAGCTGAGGACGAAATGAGAAATGAACACTACTCGTGTGAATTTATATACTATCTAGCAGCAGTAAATGTATGTATATTTATTAATTGATTCCCTTTCGATTTAATTTCTCCCAATCCCTTTCCCGCTGCTATTCCACAGCTACTACTACTAAAGGTCGATCAATGAAATCAATACACTGATCATCATTGATTTCATTACGGATTCCGATGAAAATACAATTGAACCTGTCAGAATATATTTATTAACTGATTCCCTCTATCCTACCTCACTTTTCTTCCCCTAGGTTCCTACAAAGATACACAGTTTTATTTACTACATTTTCACGCCTCTGCAGATTTCTCTACTTCGCCTTTCTCTTCATTTCATGTATCATCTCACTCCCCGTCTGTACTTTGTCTCTTTGACCCGCCGTCTGATCCCTCTCCGTCTCATTCGTTTTGGACCTCGTTTCCCGTCGTGTCATACTTTTTTATTACTCCTCGTCCCTTTACACGTCTTCTCCCTGCTGTTTCTCCCCGTTCCTAATCCTTATTAACTGTTTCCTCAGAAATAAATATACGACCGGGATGAACGCAGTAAAAAGTTTCGCCTCACGTGCATAATAACCTCCGCTCGCAGTTCTATAAGTCATGCTTCTGCCTCTAATAAATTATTTCTGAGCAGTCGTGTGACACGCGTGTCAGTCGAACGGTCAGTATTGAAAGTCTGGAAGGTTTTTACTAATTTCGATTTCTATTTATCTCTACTGCTACTCATTTATTTACGCTTCTAAAATGTGTCGTACCAGCGATGACCAAATCCAGGGTTGCAGATCTTCTAGCCGCCGGATCGACAATTAACCATGTCTTTAAATCTGAATCGACGAGATCCAATCGTCAATTCGGATTTCTTCCAATTAAGCCGACTGAAAACAATTTCAATCGTCGTTGATCAGTCGAATCCAAATTAAAAACGTTCGATTGAATCAACGATTTAATCACTCATCTATGACCCTGGACAACTCTGTGTTTCGCACATCGAAGAATCATCGCAAAATCGTACATTAAGTTTTATATGAACGTCAGTGCAAATGGATTCTATTAATCATTCGAAATTTGAATCTCGCTCGCTAAATTAAATACACGCTTGCTGCGCTGGCTGGCTTATCTTGCAAGATCCAATTACGAACAATTAAGGGAAGTTCGAAAGATAAACGCACTCGCAGAAGCGGTGGGACACGTTGACGATGTCTAGAAGAGTATTAACGGAAGGGGACGCTAGAAGGTAGTTTCAAGCACATCGTTTTTTAAAGCATGAAACACGACCTATGAATAATGTTACGCGTTCGGGCGCGAGCGCGCGCGCGCGCGTCTCCCCTGCTACCAATTTTCCCGTCGAAAGATCGATGAATAAATTCGCAAGTGATTTTATACATAGAATTTTAACAGCGAACCGGCCTTCCGTCATTCACTCGAATCATGTTTTACGATCATTCGTTAGATGTTTCCGAGCCCTCTCCACTGATCGAGTTAAACGATGATCGAAATTATGTTCAGACTCTGTCGCATTTAAGACTTATGAATGAAACTCTGGTTTCACTTGGCGAAACATTACAACTTTGAACTATATTTTAGATTCGTCTCATAACGTGTACGTTTGCGCGTATTTTCTGTAAACCATAGATGAGTAAATCTCTACAGTATTGACTTATGAGATAGTAATCCGGCGATGCACAAAATGCAGTAGAGAGGGTTCGTTCCTTCGTCTATTCGTGTCGCAAGATATACCGATACCATCGCTTTAACAACGCGTATCCTCGCACGAATTCTTAAGCGTTTAAAAGCGTTTAATTCTCCCAGAAGATCTGTATCTGTAGCTACCATTGTAATTCTCTTTCGACTCGATCGAACGTCACGAATTTTATTCTTCTATAAAGTTTTAACGACCGTCGTTAGAACGAAGATATCGGTATATCCCGGTTCTACCCGGTCCTCGATTCATACGAAGAATTGATCGGCAGATCATCAATTCTACCACAAGTGGGCTCTGTTGACGGACCCGGACGATGTGGCGGGCGGGCCGAAGGGCTACTTGAAATGCGACGTAAGCGTGATCGGGAAAGGCGATACGGTGAAGATCCCACCGAAGAGCGAGAAAGACGAAGATGACATCGAGGGAAATCTCCTCCTTCCGGACGGAGTGCCGATCGAGAGGCAACGGGCCAAGTTCATAGTGAAAGTTTACAGAGCCGACGGGCTGCCGAAGATGAACAGCAGCATCATGGCGAACGTGAAGAAAGCGTTCACCGGCGAAGTGAAAGACCTCGTCGATCCGTACGTCCAGGTGTCTTTCGCCGGACTCACCGTAAGACATTTAATTAGCTGGCTTGCTTCTTAAGACTTCTCAGAGAGCACATCCTGTCTAGTCGGCTAGTCGGCTGCAATATTCACATTTCTACACGACAACAACATTTTCTAGAGCCCGATCAAACGATTGCGATGCGTAAACTCAGCTCTATTCCTAGAAATCAGGATCACGATCAAATCAGAAATCTGCATCGTACCAGTCGATTGGTAGTACGATTACTAACAAACAGTTAGAATCAACCGAACCGTTAGATTCTAGGACTGCAAGCTCGCTTCGTCTGATTTCTTCCCTCGTTGCTTTAGAACTTTAGGATCGATCGGCATACATCGGTTCGATCGATTTTCAAAAGAATTAATAGGTAGACGGTAAACCAACTAGAAAACACAATTTTTAATTAGAAACTGGGACCGCGTCGTTAATCGACGAGAATAATAATACAGATTTGAACAGAATCAGTGAACCGTACGTTTCGTAGAACGGTAGTTGAGAACCGCTATTCTAGTCTAGGTAGAAGCGCTCGTCGAAGGAAATCATTGAAACGAACGTATCTTTTCCGGGATTCAGGGTAAGACGAGCGTCAAGAGGCACAGTTACGCGCCGATTTGGAACGAACAGATCGTTTTCACGGAAATGTTTCCGCCCCTCTGTCAAAGGATCAAGATCCAGCTGTGCGACAACGACCCGGTGCACGCCACGGTGATCGGCACGCACTTCGTAGACTTGAAACAGGTCAGCAACGACGGCGAGAAGGGGTTTCTGCCCACGTTCGGCCCGGCCTTCGTCCACTTCTACGGGAGCATCCGAGATTACAGTCTCATTGATCAGCATTCCACCCTCAACGCCGGACTCGGCGAGGGAATCTCCTACAGGGCAAGGTTCTCCACCCTCACAATTTTCTATCGATTAAACGTGCATTCAACGTCCATTTACAATTTCAAAGTAGGGATACGCATTTCGAATTCATTGATACTTGTTCCGTTTTGCAAATACTTAATTCCACGCGGGTATGAAATTATACGTAAAAATGTGAACACACACGATCCGTTGTTAGATTACTGATAGCGATCAGAACGGAAATAAGCGACAACCTGGAGATGGCACCGTCGGAAGTGGAAGTGGAACCGGCGATGCCCATAAACGAGTCCGCTTACGCGAGGAACGAGGAGTTCTTCTTGTTCGCGACAATCATGGACGCAACGATGATCGACAAAAAGCTCGGCGACAAACCGATGTATTTCGAACTGTCGATAGGCAACGCGGGGAACGCGTTGGACGGTCACAACGAAAGTTCTAAGGTAGGGGTTAGTATCGAATTTTCATCCGTTTCACGCTCGAACGCAACGGAGTAAGTCTTAATCAGAGATGGATCAAGTGCCGGTTCCACGGTTCGTTTTACGGTTATTTAATTCCGCGGTATCGCGGTATTCTACGCAGTACAGTAGAACTTTGATCATAATCAATATAGTGCTCGATTGTTTTATATAATGATCGACGACAATTTTTGTCGGACGGTACACTTGGGTAATAGTGAGCAGAATTGCTCTGTCACGTATCGTTTCCGCAAACAGCGGAAAGAACGGGAACGATCGGGGGTTCTACTGTAATCCAGAACGATCGATACAACGTCGTGATAGATCTTTGAAAACAAGTGAAACTAGTCAATCCGATTTGTCTGTGTTAATTTCTGCATTTCATTTAATTGCCATTAGATGTACGACATGGGACCAAAAAGCGGAACGAGCGTGGATCAGGAGGAGCTACAGGAAGTTTTGAGCGGGTCGTGGCAGAGCACCACCCCGGCTTGTAAGCCGATGACGCACGACAAGATTTATTATTTTTTACCGTATTGGGACGATAAGCCTTGTCTACACGTGAGGAGCATCTGGCCGGACTATAGGCGGAGAATGTACAACAGCAATATAATCAGCAAAATCGTAGATAAATTGGTGAGTAGAGACATAGAGAAGAAGTAATGAAAGACTGACACGTATACAGAATCAATCAGAATTGTCATTTAAGGGGGCAGGTTTCTTTCCAACCAGTCGATGAACAGAGAAGTTTTATGTGAATTTTTTACGAGGAAACTGTTCATTCTGCTAGATCCAAGTTCTGTACACCGTATTCCATCGTCTTTCAGCTCTCGAAAACGATCTTCTCGTTATTGTAAATTACAAAGAGATCCGCGCCCTTGAACGACGTTGCCGATAGTGACGTGACCCGTTTTATTATATTTCTCGCGTGGGTAGGAAGAAGGATTATCGGAAGCGCAATTGCACACGGACGACTGCTCGGGCGAGAAACTGTTGAAGTCCGCGTTGGAAGAGTTGAACAGTAATTGTAATCGATACGTGAGCATCAGTAGATCGAGCTTGACCGGCCCGGGGGTCGGGAAAACGAAACTGGACAAAGAGAGAACGAAATTGTGCCAAAGGGAGTTGGAGAGCATAGGGAACATGGCGCGGAACTTGAAAGCCGTGGTCACCAAGAGCAGCTTCAAGGAGAGGCTGAAGACCGCTCAGGGCTATCTCCACAAGTTGAAGTTTCTCGTCGAGGATGTGAGTTCCTTGGACCGTGTACTTCTCCGCTTCGGTGTCGTCCCGGTTTTCACGAGACTAAACGGGGAACGTGGTTTCCACAGCCTCAAGACTCGCTGCCGGACGTTTTCATCTGGGTGATCAATTCCGGACGCCGGGTGGCTTACCACAGGATACCTGGCAGGGACTTGATCTACTCGATCGTCGACGAGGAATGCGGTAGACACTGCGGGAAAGTGCAGTCTATGTTTCTGAAGGTATGTCAATTTGCATGTCAATTTGCATTGTCGTTATTTCTAGTTTCCATCTCCCACGAATATTTCAGCGAACGTCTCAATCTCTGTTCACTGGCTCATTTCTCTATGATATTAAGCGTTAAAGGTTACACAGTTTGTACTTCATTCCCCTGGACCTAAGCTTCCAGGTAAAAAACGATTCGGGCCTTCGGGCTGGGCGATACAGACCAAGCTGCAGATTTACATGTGGCTCGGCATACTGAAGCACAAGAAGTACTTCATCCAGGGCTTGCCGAAAGGGTACGAGCTCAGCAACGAACTCAAGAACGTCGACAGACCACGCGCTTTGCCACCCACCATCATTCACTACGTGGAGAAACATGTACGTAGTTCAACGACGAACCCAGCGAAAGTTTTTACACGTTAACGCACCACCTCTACATTTTTTTGGCGGTTCGAGCGGAGTTTAGTTTCGGCGCTGGTACTTCAATTAGGCGCCAGCTCAAACGACAGTGTGACAAAACGAATTTCGCTTTTTTTTTTAAATTTTTTATAGAAGAATTTGAAAAGAGTCATTCGGGCCGTGCACGGTAGGTTCGATACGTGCCTCCTCCACCGTACGCGTGTTCATCGATCAGTCGTCCCTTGAATTCGCTTCCTGCTCACACGTCGATCTCTTAATTAATTTAATAAAAAATGTACGAACGAAAGACTCGTGGACACGATTGGAAATCTGTCCGATTCTCGCGCAGAAATTCCAGTTAAGGGCGCACATGTACCAAGCCCGATCGCTGATCGGCAGCGACGCGTCGGGTCTCTCGGATCCGTTCGCGAGAGTGATTTGCGGCGAGTTCTGCAAGTCCACCCAGGTGATCGACGAGACTTTGAGCCCCACGTGGGACGAGCTGCTCCTTTTCGACGACATCCTGATCTACGGCACCGACGAAGAGATCAAGAAGGATCCACCGTCGATCGTCATCGAGATCTTCGATCAGGACAAAGTGGTACGTCGACTAGGATTTTAAAGATAATCATTCGCAATCGGAGCAGTGGTGGCCAACGCTTGTTATCGTCTGTCAGAAGCTGAGAGCTGTACTTTTACGCGCATCGGATCTGCATTTTTACGCGCATACGAACGTCCCTACACGATCTCTTTTCAACCGTTTGACCTCAACGATCGATACGTAGTTTAACTTTGCTCCCTACCCTTTTGGACACCCTCTTATGTTCGTCGATCATCGACATTTTTAATCTCACTCAGTAGTCGTGATATCCATCGATCGAAAGTCCCTTGGCCGTTGCATGCCGTTTCGTCGCTTTCCCTCAGCCCTCCCCGAGAGCCACGTTTGGCCACCATTGTTACAGAACGTCGCTGGATGACGAAATTTTGTTTCGACATACACCCCGACTTCTGTTCGGTATGGATCATTAAACAGATTCTCTTGTGATTCTCTTTTTACAGAGTCATTTTGTCACTATGGACATAACACTGCATGAGGGCTCTGCTTTAACAGTTTGTATATGATTTACAATGACATTTTACACTTATACTTGTGCACAAACACACGCAACTACATTCCATTTTTACGTTAATTGACGGTAAACGTGCTATTGAACGTTCCACAATTGATTCGTCTTAAGAACTTGGCTACCCTAAATAAAATATGCACAATCAGCGTAACGAACGTTTAGACAGTGGATCTCCGAACGTTATTCAGGCCGAAGTAGGCATTTTTGCCTTCTGAATTACTGAATTAAATAATTACACACTTGGATGCCAAACAATATTTTTTCACGTGCTTCATTTCAAATCGATCGATCTGTGTTAAATATAATACTTGCTCGACTCGTATCATCTCTCTTCACACCACCTGCACGAAATCGGAAGCTTAAAAGACTTAAAGAAAGTGTATTGCGCGCCGATGAGAGGCTCGTCGGCAAAGGAAAAAGGAAAGAATTTGTTCGAGGAGATCGATCAAAGTGGCTGTGTTGCAGGGGAAGTCGGAGTACATAGGCCGGGCAGTGGCGCGGCCTCACGTCAAGCTCGCCTCGGAGACTTATACACCTCCGCAGTTCCCACCGTCGTTGGAATGGTACGACGTGACGAGAGGCGTCGCGAGAGCCGGCGAGCTTCTCGCAGTTTTCGAACTGCTCGAGTATCCCTCGACCAAGGATTACGGGTTTCCCACTCTACCGGATCCGAAGGAAACCGGGTGTCAAACACCCGTGGCTCTGGACCAGGGACCCATCCTCCCGGTCCCAATCGGCATTCGGCCCACTCTCTCCAAATACCGGTGAGAATCGTAGGGTATTTATATCGTTCGAGGAACGTCCAGCAGTCGTTAGAAGATGAATAACGTATAGAACTCGATTAGTATTATGATTTATTAATTAGCTCTGCAAAATTCTCACGGAAAGTACCCAAGTCAACCAAGTTTGTTTCGCGCAATTTCTCACAGAAAATAAAAGAATTTCCTCCTCACGTCACGCAACGGAAATTCTTCTTTGTAGAATCGAGGTATTGTTTTGGGGACTGAGAGACCTGAAACGGATCCACTTGATGACCGTGGACAAGCCACGTGTGGACGTGGAATGCGCCGGTCATATCCTGTATTCCTCGGTGATAATGAACGCAAAGAAGAACCCTAACTTCAACACGCCGGTGAAATTCTTGGAGTTGGAACTGCCGGAACAGGAACTGTATCGGCCGCCGTTGACGATCAGAGCAGTCGACTGCAGGAGCTTCGGCCGTTACACGTTGGTCGGGACGCACACGATTAACTCGATTCACAAGTACATGTACTGTCCGCAGACGAAGAAGGCGAAGAACGCGGAGGACAGGAAGAGGAACTTGTATCAGTTGCAACAGTGCACGGGTACGTTGCAGCGTCCCCTCTCTACGACGTTAATTTGAATTTTCGACGAGTTCATTAAAAAAAAACGACTCTCGTCGTTCAGGTGCAAGTTTCGACGCGTCGAGAGGGAAATGCCAGCCATCCTCGCTGCCGGAGTCGCTGACCGATCTTGAATCGACCGTCGGAGACACGATCATCACTTTAGGACTGGAGCAAGGATGGCCGACGAAGAAGGACAAGACGGAGCAGAATACACGGAAGAAGCAAAGTTTAGTCAACGATGGGAGCATGGGTGAGTTCGAAGCTCGACAGGTCGACGTGTTCAACGACTCTACTGGCGTCATTGAGAGCAGGCGCAAAACGGTCAAAATTCCTCAGCGGTCACGAATCTCTCGATTGAGTCTTCGTTATGACTTTGCGTTTCAGTTAATTTCTTCTTGCTTTAGTTGTTGGCTACAGTAATTAGATCGTGTCGTTTCTACACCCATTATAAAATTAGGCCATTTACCCGTACAATCGAATGAACAAGCAAATAAACGAATAAATAAATTTCGTCTCCGATGGAGTCTCGCAGGAGACTTCGGTACGTTCGACGACGAGGAAGGATGCCAGGACTGGTGGACGAAATACTTCGCTTCCATCGAAGCGATGATCGAAGAGAACAAGGAGCTGCGCAGGGAGAAGCCGATGTTTCAAGCTCAGGCGAACGGAACCGCCCCGACGTTGATGGACGAGTCGCAGAATCAAGGCCAAGGAAATCATTCGGGCGACAAGAGTCCCGGGGTGACCGCGAGGAAACTGTTCGGCCTAAAGACCACGGCGAACGCGGCCAGGTTCGTCTCGAAGCTGAGCCCGAAGCACGCGTGCATGGGAAAGTACCCGAAAACGGCGCTGCTCAAGATCTATCCGAACGAGTTGGAGGCGCAGCCGGAATTCGAGCAGTTCAAAGAGTGGCTGCACACGTTCGAGCTGTACAGGGGGAAGAAGACGAGCGACGAGCCCGAGGACGAGTCGAGGATAGTAGGAAGTTTCAAGGGAGCGTTGAAAGTCTACAAGTGGCCGCTGCCCAAGGACCTGTTGGACCACACCGTGATGGGGTTCGATCCGCAGTTCGGTTTCTTCCAGGGCGTGCCTTCGAACGAGCCGATTCACGTGCTCGTGAGGGTGTACATCGTCAAGGCGAACGACCTTCACCCTTGCGATCTGAACGGCAAGGCCGATCCTTACGTGGTACTCCAACTGGGCGGCAAGAGAATCAGCGACAAGGAAAACTACGTGTCGAAGCAGCTCAATCCTGTGTTCGGCAAGTGCGTGTCGTGTCCTCGTCTCAATCTTTTCGATCCGTCATTGAGACGGATCATTCTGACGAATAACGTTTACGAACATTGTCAATGAATCGAATAGTTGGAACATTTTTCGTATGGTTTGCAAGGTGCTTCGAGATCGAAGCGACGTTCCCGCAGGACTCGTCGCTGACCGTCCAGGTGTTAGACTGGGACCTGGTAGGCGCGGACGACATGATCGGCGAAACGAAGATCGACCTAGAGAACCGATTCTACAGCCGGCATCGCGCCACTTGCGGCCTACCTAAGAAATACGACGAGTGAGTCCTGACCAAAAAACATTTATTAACGTTTTATAACGATACGACGAACTCGCCGCTGGCTCGGCTCGGGAGTACTTTTGATTGTCGGACAATCCAAGTTCTACCGCGGTCACTCGAGCCCAAGCATTTTCAGATCGGGCTACAACAAGTGGAGAGACTCGATGAAGCCGACGCAGATATTGTCGAAATTGTGCAAAGAGGGAAAGATCGACGGACCCGTCTACTCGCACGGGAAAGTAACTATCGGGAGAAAGACTTTTACCCTGTCGAACGAGGAACTCGAATATTACGTCCACGCGAAAGGTAAATTCGATCGGATTTGACAAGGTCACCGTGCCATATCGTAGGCCTCACGCATTTCTAAAAAAAATCGAACGAAACGTGTAAAAGTACGGTTGGAGAACGGTTAAAGCAGGACGCGCGTCGATATCTTTTGCACTACACGTACGACAGAACGTGTAAGCGAAAAATGTTTACACGCCTGATATTCTGCTTTAATCGTGTTTCAACGAGATTTAAAAGTTCTCGTTACCAGGCATAGAGGAACACCTCGCCCTGGCAGTTCTCCATCAGTGGCACGCTTTCCCGAGGATCGGTTGCGCCCTGGTACCGGAACACGTGGAGACTCGGCCGCTTTACAATCCCGAGAAACCGGGGATCGAGCAGGGGAAATTGGAAATGTGGGTGGACATGTTTCCGATGGATATGCCGTCGCCAGGTCCGCCGCTCGAAATATCGCCAAGGAAGCCCAAGAGCTACGAGCTGAGGGTCATCATATGGAACACGGACGACGTCGTACTGGAAGACGACGCGTTTTTCACCGGCGAAAAGATGAGCGACATTTACGTTAAAGGGTACCTTTCTTAATTCGAAGAAACTCTAATTAACGATTCGCTTTTGATCAATCGGAATCCAATTGAAAATTTTTACGATTCGATCCATCATTCGCGACTCTTTCACTTGACTTCTTTGAAATGAAACAGGCCGAAGCGGTGCTTCTTCCTAATACGAATCTCGTTCTCTCAGGTGGCTGAAGGGACCGGAAGATTGTCAGTCCACCGACATTCATTACCGCTCTCTGACGGGGGAGGGAAATTTCAATTGGCGGTTCATATTTCCGTTCGACTATTTGGTGGCGGAGGAGAAGATCGTGATCAATCGGAAGGAGAGCCTCTTCAGCTGGGACGAGACCGAATGCAAGATTCCGGCTCGGCTCGAATTACAAGTCACTATCGCTAGAGTCTTAGTTTTCGTAGACCCGCGGATATTCATGCATAATAAAATGTTTATAACAACGATTTAAAAAATGTACCTCACACAGCAGTTTCTTCTGCGTTCCGTGCACTTTTACACACAACGTGCAATCGTCACGTGTATTCAATTTTTCTATAAATCCATAAAAATCTGCAGTCACAGCGTTGTCGGATTCGACGGATTTGTAGAAAAATTTTATTCGTCGAACATCAATACCTTCGTCTAGATGTAATCTGTTCATTCTTGACGTTACGAGCTTGACTTTGCATAAAAATGTAATCCGTGCTGTTAGGGCGAAAATCTGAAGCTCGCGACGTTTCGACTTGGAATTTGCATCTTCGATTTTGCACAGGTATGGGACGCGGATCATTTCTCAGCGGACGATTTCCTGGGTGCTATCACACTGGACTTGAACCGATTTCCCCGGGGTGCCAAGAACAGCAAACTGTGCACGCTGAGTATGTTAAAGACCGACGGCTCGGTGCCGACCGTAAATATCTTCAAGCAGAAGCGAATAAAGGGCTGGTGGCCCTTTTACGTGAAGAAGGAGAACGAGGACATGGAGTTGACGGTAAACAAAATTGGAAATCTATCTTATGTGTTCGATCGACAGGGATAAATTCGAAAAATGGTGTCCAGGGCAAAGTGGAAGCCGAGCTTCATTTGTTGACCAAGGAGGAGGCGGAGAAGAATCCCGCGGGATACGGTAGAAACGAGCCGGACCCGCTCGACAAGCCGAAGTAAGGAAAATGCATTGCTCGTATTTACAATTGAATCTACGCGAAAAACGTTCGACGAATAAAAAGAAATTGTATTTTCATCTTCCAGCCGACCGGATGCCTCGTTCATGTGGTTTCTCAATCCTCTGAAATCTATCAAGTACATAGTATGGCACAATTACAAATGGGCAATCCTGAAAGCCTTCGTAGCGATCGGAATAATAATACTCGTACTGTTGTTCTTCTACGCGATACCTGGTTACTCCGTCAAGAAACTGTTAGGTGCTTAGACTCACGAATTCGAACAGACAGTTATATTTTCACAGTTAGATACACCGAATCGGTGAGAACAAGCCGACACGCAATAGTAACAGAACGGGTCGATCACTTAATTGCATAGATCAAACAATAATTTCTCGAAAAAAATAATTGTAGCTTCGCGTCGCTCAGCGTTCACGTACTTACCTCGTCGTCCTACGTCTCATCACGTTTCGGCAGGATAGCTGTTACTCGTGTGTGAGAATACCTGTGCCGACTTTAGACGACTCGTCGTCACACACATTTTCCTCTTCCGATCGACTTCGATTAGCGAAATAAACAATGATTATTATCATTATTGTGCTTCTACACAAGATATAACGAATACATTTGCTGTATAGTGGACCAACGAAACAGAACGCTAAACGAACTGTATATACGACAGCCGTATCGACAACTGAAACTCGTTAGATGCAAAACAATAACGACGCGCGCAATGTACGCGGAATATTTTTACTTATGAAACGTTTCGTTAAGAATGTTCTAGCCTACTTTGTTGTAAATAGATAATTCAAGTGTACATCTAGGAACTAATAAACGACGTTAAAAAAATAATCGAAGGAAAAGCTTTCTCCTCTTTCAGAGTTCGAACGAAATGTTCTTTCCTACATCGATCTTACATCGTTTCGACTGTTTTTTTTACTGTTCAACTCTTCTTCGAGAGTCTGTGGAAATTTCGTTGACGGAAACTACATATAACTTTTGTTCGCTCGTAACTATTCTCCGTTCTCGAGAAAACGAAAATGTGCAGTTGTCTCCGAGCAGAAAAGACGATCACAAAATTAGTTGTCTCGTGGATGGCCGATTGGAAACTTTAAAAGTTCCGTTCGAGCCGTGGACCCTCTTCACGCGTCCGCGGACAATGCTTCAAATTTATTAGCGACTCGCGGAATCTCGGAGTCGTCGCTCTCCGCATCCGATGACGCGGACTCGTCGGACCCTTCCTTCTTCTCGCTCTTTCGACTTTGCGAACGTTCCTCTCCCTCGTCCTCCTCCTCCTCCTCCTCCTCCTCCTCCTCTTCAGACGAAACGAACGCTTTCCCTACGTCGCTCACGTCTTCCCCTCTGTTCCTAGCTTGAATCCAGCTGACCAATTCGACTTCCGCGTGATCCTCCCATTTTTCTGAATCACAGAACGGTAAGCAATTTTCAGTGAACGTGTCGTGTTTTAGTTATAAAAATCTGCAGGCCGACAACGGCTAACAATTACCTCTGTCAGCGACCCAGTCCGGCGGGTAAACGTACATACAGATTCTCGCTGCCAACGCCATTCTCAGTAACGAATTGGCTGCTCTGTACGTGTCGAGTCTGGCTGCTCGCGCGGTCACGAAATTTCGTTTGGTGGCCCACGCGTCGCAGATGTCCATGGCGGACCACGAGTCGTCGCCGTCCGGGTGCTGCAGTCTGAGTATCTTCGGCAGGTCTGTCCTCTCTGCTAGGAATTTGATCGTGGTATAAGGCTCCCTGACCTGGGCTATCGGGTACGATCCCATCAGTATCTGCAACTGTTTAGGCACCGTAGACGGGAACACCAGTCCTGGACAGTCGCAGAGGCAAACGGTTCTCGTGAGAAATATCGTTTGGAAATGTTTCGTGTGTCCCGGCGTACGCGACACGCTCACGACTTTCTTCCCTGGAAAACGACAGTCCACGATCAACATCGAGATTCAGGACGGATCAGATCGAATTTCAGTCGAGTGTATTTGCACGAGAAGAATGTACCCATTAACGCGTTTATCAGAGAAGATTTTCCAACGTTCGGAGTCCCGACACACCCGACGGTCAAAACTCCGTTCTTGTAACGTTCGTGCTTGAAGTAGCTCGTGTCCTCCTTTTCGATCGTCACGCTCTCTCTATGGTCGACATCGTCCAGGTCGAACTCCATTTGCATCTCTTCTCGAATCTTATCGTGCCAGGACGACAAGTCCACCTCGTTACCAACGATCTTCTCGCAAGCGTCCAACAACTTCTGAGCACCTTCCGCGGCCATCCGCAATTTCCCTTTCATACGCCTCTGCTTCAGTCCTTCCGTTTCATTCGTATTCCCACGCAAATTGTACGTGGGACACGATGTAAACATTAAAACGTGTAACTTCGGGTACGTGCTGCGGAAGTATTCTTTCCATGCCACGACCAAGGCTGCAGGAGCCAAGTCGACTTTGTTCAACACCAGGATCATATCCTTCCGAAGTTCGTTCGTTACGTACCGATACAGATAAGGAGGAAACATCAAGACCGGGTATCTTATGTCCACGATCATCAATAAAACATCAGACATCTCCAGAACTCGCCACAATTGTCTCCAAGTTTCCAGATTCAACTCGAAGTAACTGACGTCACTCAACTTCGCCATGCCTTTCAAATATTCCTAAAGATTCACGAATCGTTAGCACTGAAATCATTCAGTCGGAGTAAAAGTTTGTGCCCGACTCTTAGAGGCGCGTACTTTGGCACAGATGCTTAACACGTGGTCCGTCTGCTCGCGAAGAGAATTGTAGAGAACAGGAACGGACGGCTCCACGAAGAATTTTCTCCACGAAATATAAATGACAATGCGAACAACGGGTCTTACTTGCGCAGTCGAACACAAACTTTCACGCTGACCCGATACGTCATTTATACGACGAAAGAACGAAGCGATTGCTCACAGTAAAATATCTTTGCTCCCTCGAGTCTAATTGTTCCTTGGTCATGTTAAAGTCCCAAGGTGGCCTCTTGGGCATGTCGACTTCGGGTGGAAAATAGTCGTCGGATACTTCTTGATCCTTCAGAGACAAAGGTTCGATCGTACATCTGGCTTGTTCCCTTCGCCTCGCCAACTCTTCCTTGGTCTCTCGGAAGAATTGCAGAGCGTAGCTGTTCTTCGAAGAATTATCTCTCGGCTGCTTATTAATCTTCTGTATACCACTGAATTCGGAATCGTTGCTACGTTCCTCATTGTTTCTGCTATAATTCCCGGCTGTAAACCGTAACACGAGAAATGTAACTGTATTAAACATCATATCAATCAATACGTGAAACAACGCTTAACTGTCGTGTCGACTGTCAAACGAAGAAATATGATCGTACGACAGTCCCTATTACACATACCGAGTGAATTTGCGTTCTGTCTTTGCTTTTTAGCTTGCAGTTGCTGCTTCTTCGCTTTACAGCTGAACGCTTTCTTCCTCGTTCCCTGCATTCTTTAATACCTCAACCTCTTTAATTCCTGGATATCTCAAACGTGGAACGGATATCGATTGATACGCGTCGATCACGTACACTGATATCAATCGGACACCTAATTTGTGACATCTATCGAATGAACTGTTCTCTGGAAGAATCAAAATAAACTTCTCTGCACCACTCTGCACGGTTCGTTCGGGGTCTCAATTGTGAGACGTGCGATGCACAATGCACAAGTTGTGATTGTGCAGCACAACCTCAATCTTCTAATATGTGGGGAGAAAATATAGTAGTGGTGGACGGAACGGAGAAATCCTTCGATGTAGATGATATAGCATCCCTGATCCCAACCTAACCCCGAGTGAAGTCATTCTAACCATTCTAACTCACAGATGGTCGTAGAAAGCTGAGTGACCGATGATAAGTCTGTATATCGTTATCTCGTAACTAGCTGAAGCTACTTTAAACAAAGAGAAAGTGTACGCGCGTGACCATGCGTAGCGTAACCACTGAACATGGAGCCATTGTCAATGTTACTCGAATCTATGATAACGCAAGTAAAGTGCTCAAAGTTTGGTTAGACACGTAAACGTTTTGAGCAAAGTTATAACAGAGACCGTGAAGCATATCAGGATCTCGTGCAAACGTATTGAATTTTCGTTTGTTGCGATCGTTACTGATTAACAGAAAATGACAGAGGAGGAAGTTTCAATAAGTGTTCTGACACTGAACTGCTGGTAAGTGACAATGTCCTTATAAATGATCTCATTAATTTCATTTGCTCTTTGTTCGTTGTAAAATTATCACGTGTAAGCGTCCCCGAGTGACGATACGAAACGTGGTCAATCGTCGTTTATACAAGTTTCACAATGCTTCATGGTTCAGGGGAATACCATATGTCTCGCGAGACAGAAAAGCTCGGATGGCTGCGATCGCTGAAAAATTCTCTAAAGAGAGTTACGACGTTATCTGTCTGCAAGAAGTATGGTCAATCGACGACTTTAAAATGATCAAAGCCAAAACGCAGGAACAGTTACCTTATTCACACTACTTCTACAGGTAAATACGTCGCGTGTTCGTCGGGTGGTCGAAAGGAGGAAAGAGACAATGCAATTAATAGTGAACGTGTTTTGATTATTTAGCGGTGTTGTTGGATCAGGAATTTGTATCTTAACTAGATTTCCTATTAAAGATGTTATGTTCCATAAGTGGCCTCTGAACGGATACGTACACAAGTTACATCACGGCGATTGGTTCGGTGGAAAGGGCGTCGCACTCTGTAGACTTCAAATTCAGGACATGGACGTTAACGTTTACGTCGTGCACGTGAGCATCTTTGTTTGCCGTTCCGTCGTGTCGTTACGAACGGGACGAGCGTCACGTCGTTCATAAGTTCAAGACGCTTCCAAATACTCGTTCCTTGAACAAGATTTGAAATTGCAGTTACACGCGGAGTACAATAGGGATAACGACGAATACGCGGCGCACAGGGTACTGCAAGCTTTCGACACTGCCCAGTTCGTTCGACTGACTTGCGACGGAGCCGATTCCGCGATACTGTTGGGCGACCTCAACACGGAACCAAACGATCTAGCCTACAAAATCATATGTGGCGTCACCGGTTTATTGGACGCTTGCTCAAACACTTCTTCGACCAATTTAGGAACCCATGAGTGTGCCAATAATAGTTATACCACGTCGAAGAGCGCGAACGCTTGCCCAGAAGGAAAGCGTATAGACTACATTTTGTACCACGGTACGAAGAACATCGAGGTAAATTCATTTGTTATTAACGGGGAGATCCCTCGAGGGGACGGTGATACCACTATAATTTCGAAAGCACCGCGGATCTTGCTCGAAAAGTTTAGGACGCGTCTGCATATGTTCAATCCGACACTTTGTGAGAACTACAGAGGAACATCCCCTCGCGTTAACATATTCCGGATTTATTCGTTCGTGCGCTTCGACGATCTCGCGCGTCTACGAGTTGTACTCTGTTGTAGGTAAAAGCAACTAGTTTCAAACATCCTTTCCCAAACCGGGTGCCCGGCAAGAACTTCAGTTACTCCGACCACGAGGCCATCGTGGCGACCTTTCGTTTCAGTGCTGGTGAACCTCCACGACCTTTGACGCAATCGTTATCAGTCACGGGCAATGTAATGATGAATTTTCTATTTGCAGGCTCGACCCCATCCGCGAACATGGACGTCAGAGACTCGTTGAAGGAAGGTATAAGCATATGCGAGACCGCGTTGAAGAGCGTCAGCTGGCAGCGGTATTGGTATCTATTGTTCAGCGGCATGTTGATCGTGCCATTGGTCTGGTCCATGGGATTAGATTGTTCCGTAACATCCGCCGATGCAACGATCGGTCTGAACGTGGGGCGTGTCTGTTTGTCGGCAGTACTTTGCTACGCTCTGTTCATGAGCTCCATATGGAACAGCGTCGAGAAGAACGCATTGAGGGCAGGATGCTCAGGGATGGAGATATACTTGACCAGTTTCAATCTTAATTTGTACGCGAAGTGAAACCAAGCCAAGCGCTGCGCGTTTGGGTGATTGGCAATTTTAGAGGCTCGAGCCTCGTTATACGCTTTAGCATATTTAGTTTTGTTTCACACGTCTGTCGAAAGACAGTACAAGTACACATTTACGCGCGTAAGTATCGAATACAGCTGGCTTGATTCGACTTATGCGCGCGAAGAGTTTTCCAACACGGAGGATGACAAAGAATTCGTCGTGTCGCACGAGTATCGAAAGAGCCCGAGCGTTGAAATAGCGTAGCGAAACACTTGACACGTGGATCATGCTCCTTCTCTCTCTCTCTCTCTCTCCTAAGTTAAAAAGTTACCGGTTTTAAAACGTCTTTATTCGGAAGATTTTTCGGTTTTTACGAGAGAGATCCACTAGCTCATAGAAAATAGAAAACGGTGATAATTACACAATGGATAATGAAATTGTATCTTCGAATGAAAACGTTTCCGTGTTACTTCAAATCGGGCAAGAACTCGTGCGATCGTGCAATACTTCCTATCACGACGTTCCGTATCCGCTCCGTGGAAAGTATGACAAAAGTATATTTTCTTAAGAACCGTGGCATTTACATTACATTCTAGTTGCCGTGTCGCAGTTAAAGGACAATAATATGGTAAATGTCCTAATTTCTGTTTGCATTGAAATTTCTACTCATCGGCGCATTGTTCTATCTTTGTGCGGATAAAAGCGTTCCTCCCATCTCCGATCGGAATTTTAGTTTGCACGTGTTAGCTCTAGAATCACCACAGTTACGAGTACAGTCTGAGAACAATCGCGACTGATTCATAATGAGAATGGGAGCAAAAAGGTCGCCATTCCTGGATTCTTATGTTACCTCGAGAGATCATCGAAGAACAAGCAAGTCAGTAGAAATTGTTACGTGAACAGAAACGATCGAGACGTTTACCTCGTAATTCCTTAAGAGATGTGAATTCCATTTTGCAAAAATTCCGTATGGCAATTTTTTAAGAGTTACATTTCGAGAGTTTAAGAAACAGACAGTTTTGACTTAGTGTGTGTACGAGCATTACGTTTCGATTGTACCGTCCGACTCGACGTCAACACAGTATATTTATACTATTAAAATCTTTATTCCAAATTCCGATTATATTTGGTATTTATTTATTTTATCACATTCCGATGTTATATGCGATCGTGTACACGTGTGCACGCGCGAGTACGAACGAACATTATTGCCTACGAGATCTCCTACAAGCTGCATACCGGAGCAATACCATTTAATACAAATATACTTAAATATCATAGTAATATATTAGCGCTGTGTATGTATACGTGTACGTAAGTATATGATAGAAATTTTTCTACAATCGATTATATACACTATAGACGTTCTTTCGAGCAAAAAGGCTCCTAATAAATAAAACTTGTATGTGTGTGTATATATATATATATATATATATATATTATGTACGAATATTTATAATATGTATAGAATGTAATTGACTATGTAAATTGTACCCAAAGGAATGTAAATAGAAAAACCTCGTGTTCCACGCGTTTCACGTGTGTGTTCATTGTAGCGCTCGCATCTTCGCGATTGGCAGAAATACTTGAGAAAGAAAAAGGAAACCGACGATGAACTTATACAGTTCGTGGAATGTAAAAGCAATTTAGGCACTCTTTGGCTTTCCAAATTCAAGGCAATTGTTCAACGTAATTCTTTGGGACCAAACCTGTTTTACCGTTCAACGTGCCCTCTAACCATCCGGGTTCCATGGAGGCCTTCACTGCAATCATCGAATCGTGATCGATGTATAAAACGTCAATGTTCAATACGACGCGTTTCATTCAGATATTTACCATTCGTGATGATTTGATTTGGTTCAAACGATAATTCTCCGTCGCTTTCAGCCACGCAAGCATACAAAGTGCGGACTCGCCTGAAAATGTACAAACGATAAGACAAAATTTGAATGGATAGGGATAACGTACGACGGCGATGCTTCAACATCGTATCGCTTCGCGTGAAACGTACTGTTTCTTAAACAGATTCGTGTTTCAGCAAAAATTGTAACAGAGACATCACAGCGACTCACCAGAGACCGGGTTGTCCGGGACTCGAACGTCCGCTGATGGGCGACGTATTGATCCTGTAAGAAAAAAAGTACATCCAGATCGAGATGCCTATAAATAGAATTATTTCTTACGTTGGCCTTTGAATCGAAAGAGACTCACGACAGATTGGTTCGTTGAGCGTAGCCCGACGGATGGTGCACCGACATACAGCCACGCTTCTGTTTCACTGGCAGGTCGGACGAGAACGAATGCGGATCGGACGTAATCGACTCGCTCGAACTGCTCGTATTGCCACTGGTCAACACTGTATTAAAAAAACGTTCACTTTCAAGTCTAACGCGATCGAAGACCGCGAATTTTTAGGCGACAGATCTAGAAAACACGAGTATCTTATCAGTGATACGCTTTTTTGACTCACCCTTGTCTGCGGAATGGTACATGAGATTCGCGTTAGTCAATTTAACACGTGCACTTCGACCGTCCAAATACGTCGGCATCTTGTGACCAGTGTGTTCCGTTTCGTCGTAATCTCCGTTCTTCCGGTCGTCGATCGAGGACTTGGTGACGACCGTCAACGGGACGTCGTAGTACGATCTCGTAACGAGCTGTACACACACGTTGTTTCAATGAATGACAAATTCCATTTTAAAGTCAGACAGTGGGTCAACTTCTAAGCGAAGAGGATCGACTTCGAATCGACTTCTAAGCGAAGAGGATCGACTTCGTCCAATTCCAAAGATTCTGTCCCAATGAAAAACATCGTTCAACTCGAATCATTCGTGACGTTACGACAATTATTGTACAGAAATACGACGACTTCGTTCATGTTTGGATTGAACGTACGATTCGAATTACTGTTAATACAACCTTCGAAACGAACGTATGATGACTCACGTGACCATGTGGCGAGGAGACGTTAGTGTGTACTGGATATCTTAGGAACGATGGAGCGCCGTTGCCGGAAGACGCCGATCCATCTTCCGCGTTGAGACGTTGCGCTCTAGGGGGTATGGCATTCTGCGTCGGACGTACGACAGCGATCTCCTGCGGTGGACCGGCGATTATCCTCTCGCAATTCTCGATTAAAATTTCTACTACGATGTTGTAAAACTTGATGTCCATTATCGAAGCCACGGTCTCTTCTTCCGGCCGCAACAACGACGGACCGAAGCACACGGCTAAATTCCCGACGGTCATTAAATTTTTATCGCTCTTCTTCGCCACGCTGCGGAACATCGTTATACATTAACGTACTCCTAACCAGATCGACTCGCTCGTGTTACGAACAGATCTCTGTGGAACACGTTGTTGCAACATCGATTCGAAGGATACGTATAGCTCACCTGCAAAGGTGTCTGATCAGAAGAACCAGCATGTTAAAGTTAGCTTTCGGTAATCGGTAAACGAGATTGTGAACGTCGCATACACGTGCTTCCTTCACTTCTTGCTCTGTCAAAAAATACCAATCGGTTGAGACGACACGAAATGGCGGTCATCCAATATACAGAAAATAAGATCGGATTCGAACACGACATCAAGAATCGTTTGCTCTATTTAGGACTCGACATAATTTCTTTGGCATATTTTAAAAATCAGAGTCGTTTACTCAGAGATTCATGATTCGATGTAAAACGATATTATAGAGAATACCTATACGCACTCGCAGCTGAAATGAAACTATTATAATATCGAAAGGTCATCAACGGTTCAGATAACGTCCTTAAATACGTTTTGAGCGCGCTAGTGATGGTTTTACTCTCCCATTCGAAACGATCGTCGAGGTTGAGCTTCTCCAATTTCCTTCTGTCTAGTCCCATCGCTAACAGCTTGTTCACTTTCGACGCAACGCCGACCACTCTGTACAGACCCTGTTCTTCGAGACCTGAAACAAACAACGGCGTTTTTTCTCAACGTTTCTTTCCCACATTGTCAAACATCGAAAAGGATGTCATACGAAACCAGATAGACACTAGTCTCAGACTCTGGAGGGTCGTACAAAGTAAAACTCGCGGAGTATGGATTCGAAAAATAGTAAGATCAGTCGTTACACGAAAAACCCTGTCTAATGTTGGTGTCGAGTATCCCAACGATTATTGTACAATGTCAAATGAACTTAAAAATTACTGTCATCCACTGTGCGAACCGGTGTATCAATTGTCGTGTCGAATGTCGTAATTACTCGATCGACGTTACCTCTGTCCTCGAGCGCCGTGATGCACTTCGACACGAACATAAACCCTGTTTCATCCAAAACAGTTTCTTCGGCTTTCGTCGACGCGCCTACTACAGGATAACTCTAGAATCATAGATGCCACTGCGTCAATTCTTCGTGACTCATTACTTACACCGTAACTGGCATTACATAACAACGACGGTTACTCACCGGTTCTTTACCGTCCATAGCGTCTAACCATAGTTTCCTGTCCTCCTCGGAAAGCGCTTGGAACGTGTACACCACGTTAGGCCTGAAAAAGATGAAAAGATCGTTCGACCGAGGACAAGCAAACGTCTTTCTAAACGCAACGAATCGACCGTTCGTTACCAGAATTCGAACGGTAAACGTTCACGCGCGACTGTGCGATACGTTACGATTTAGTCATTGAACAGGTTTCGACTGATAAAAAGGAAAAGAAGCGATTTTGTTCCGAAATCGGAGCAGAATATCTCCTCTCACCAACCTTCGATTCCCAAGAACGTTAAACGTATCAAACATTGTAGAATAGACATTTGAACATAAAACAGTATCCGGTTAGTCAAATCGTTCGAGCCAAGCTTACGCTGTTCCAAATTTCAGTGTCACGAGGGGAAGAGGGTCGATTATTTATACGCGCTCGGACGTTATCAACTTACTTGTTGTCGGTAGTGATGTCGAAGCAAAATCGTTTTTCGATCGTATCCGACATGCGACGCACACAGGATGCCAATTTTAAAACTTCTTTATTGCTCTGCAAGGAAACAAACGTGTCTCTCAGTCTTCTTCGTAGGAAACGAACAGCGAGCTTCTTAAGATTTACTTACAAACTTCCCTGTCAGTTGATTGTACGGTATCATCGTAAACTCTTTTGTGTCTTTCTGATATGTGCAATACTGTTTCGTCCATGTCGTGCCGAACGCCTCTGCAAGATCGAAACGATTTCTATCGTGTACCGTCGTTACGTTTAGGATTTAGAGCTGACCTCCGATCAATTTAATAAAAGCTGCTGCACTTACTTTTCTCCATTAAAAACAAATATCCTTCCCGGGTGTATACTTTATTGACTCCACTCTCTACAGCAGACTATAAAACGAGAACGTTATTGGTACCTCCGTAGCGAGTTCCTCGAACACGACTAGAACTAACATTCTTTTATCCACTGACTAGAACTAACGTTGTTTCATCGAGAACCAACTGCGTATCATTCTCTAACTTTTTATCGATTCACATTGTTCCCCGGGTGAAGTGTCATGCTAAATGAATATTTGTTCTAAGTAGACTGCGGACTCTCGTGCAAAATAGAATACTTTTGTACATGGTGCACTCGACTAAAAACGACCGTTTCTTTCGTCGTTCAAACGTCGTCCTTGGCTTTTGGCATTTTCTACATTTCTACACCGTCACGGTACGGCGTTTATATTTTTTCCACGCTCAGTTTTCTTACAAATGCACAAAATCCGCGGTCTAGTTCTAAGGAATAATTGGAAAGGAAAATGCTACGTACCTTTCTCATATCCTTCATTTTATTCATAAGTGATTCTGTTTTATCCCGGGTAGCAAGGAAATTTTCTCTAGTCTTGTAAAACACACGCACACACATAAAATGAAGAATTAGTAAGCTAATCTCTCATGCTGTTATCCTAATAATAAATTTGCGCCACACAATAATTTATTAATATGTTACGCTCAAGTATATCTACGACATTGACTAACTCGGTTAACTAATATTAAGAATAGTCCGTAGTGCATGGCGAACACCACTCGAGGAAACCCAAATTAAGTCGGTCCGAATCGAATTTTCCTCTACGAACGTATATCTTCGATTTACCGGGGTGCCGTCTCACGCTTTCGAACGAAAAATAGTTCTCGCTACTTCTTGACAGTAATCGTCAGGCTGCGGATTTTATCCAACATACGAGACACGTAAAGTTCATTTAAACGTCGTCATTTCGTATTTAAAAATATCTACAGGTTCGATCCGTCTGCGAACAATGTCGAATCCGCAGCGTAATAATTACGCACAGTGAACAGTTCGCGTAGAAATGAGGCATGCGAGAATTCGGAAATATCGAGAACCCAATGATCGAAGCGGGTCGGCTCATGACGGATTCTCGCACACCCCGCGTACGTCTATATAGCAGAAACACTGTACAACGGAATGTGAAACAGTGCACAACGTACAAGTTTAATAAATTTTCAAACCGATGTTATAGCGTACAAAGCGATCGAAAGTTTTTCGAACAGTGCCGATGTAAGTAATCAGTTTTAGAATCGTGCTTTCTTTCGAAGCGACAAGAGATCGATCATCGAATGGACACCAACCTTCTGTATTTTTAGCTGTAGCTCGGTCATGTACGGCTTAAAATCCTTCGCGACTTCATGTCCCTGGTGATAAAATGTTAGCCAACCGAACATAAAACCCAGCAGCTACGAACAGAGACAACGCGATTTACGATACGATACTCTTTTGTCGTCGATTTCGGAGTGATCGATTCAACGAATCCTCACCGTTTCAACGAATTCGAACTTCTTACGTTCCTGCACTTCTTGAAGCAAAAACACATACTCTAGACTAGCTTGGCAGAAATGTCTCTCGGCCATTTCCAACGTGGCATCCGCCTAAACAGAATCAACCGACAATGGTACAACTGTGAGTTTCGTTCGTTTTCATCTGACGTACCTCTTGAAGAACATTGTCCTGCTTCTTCGTGGACAGGTTCAAGTAGCGTTCTTGGCTCTGACAAAATTTAATAGTTTGCTTCTCGAATTTCTTCCTTCCCTCCTAAAAGTGAGATATAGAGCAAAATGAATTTGTTAAATTATAACGGCGCGCGACGCGATAGAACTTCGTGTATCACCTTGACTCCTCCAATATGTTCTTTCCTAAAGTTTTCCAACGGAAGTATAATTTGATCGTGAGCACGTTCAAGCTGAAACGAAACGTTACTCTGTCAAACCGCACGAGACTACGTTCGTCGACTCGACGAGCAATAATTAGTCTCCTGTCGAAATAAACTCCACGCGCGATAATCAAGATAAACGAAACAAGTAACAGGAAACAGATACTAATTTGTGAAACGACTACGTACAACAAATGACAGTGGTCAACGTTTATTAGATGAAATAATCCACACGTTCGTTTGAAGTTGAACTAACAATTTTTTCATCTAATACGAACATCTACATCTACGCATCTATTTTATTCGATCAGTAAGAGAAGACAAATCGAACAATTCGAGCGAGTCGATCGCAACTACTTTATCGCTAAACGCTGAAGTGAACCACTTAAATGTTACGCTTTAACAGCCTAGACAGGATGGTAAACAGTCTCGATCAATCGGCGAGAGTATTGGAAGATTTTTGTGATAGAAAATCGAAATATCTAAGACATTCTCTAGAAATGCAAACGCATCAACGAGCATAACTCTGTTTCGCTATTTGGGAAATAAACTCATTTCGCATAACACACACGTATAAATATACGACTTACCCAATACGTTAAACTTATTAGAGATATCATTAACACGTTAACGGTGGTGCCAAGGATACTCGATTAGTCTTTACGTATGCACTGAAACGCTGTTTCTTTGTAACAATTACATGCATGAACCTTTTTAATTCCACCTTAAGGAGGATGTTAATGTAAACATGTTTCAAGCTCTCGTGTAGTTGAAAAGATAGAAGCTATTCATGTGCACTCGGAAACGTGACAAAAACTATGTACATTACGTGTCGTCTTTCGCTCTCACAAGAAAAAAACGAACAAACAGAGAGAACTGAACATAGTAGTTCGATGTGCAGAACAGGGTGAACTTTGATTAAAAATGTGACTCAAAAGATGTACCATTAAATAACCAGGTCGAGCTCCTTCTATAGGAACACAGTTTTCACAATATCACCTATAACATTTGTACAAAACCGATAAATAATGTTCATTAGACAAGAAATGAAGAAGAAACGAAACTGATTCAGTTCGCAGTAGTAAAATCGTTTTGTCAAACGATATCAGAGACGTTTAAACGAATCTTTTTTGAAAATTAGTATCTTAATCTACCACTAAACCTGAAGTGCAGTTAAATAGGAGAAATATGGCGTACCATGCGATCCCTCTCATCCTCTATAGATGCGATAAGTTTACCGAATTCCTTAAGGCTTTGCGATATGTGAGTCTCGTCTTCGGTTTGCGTCTCTCCAATGCATTCGAAACTGAAATTCTGCAACGTTTTTGAAAATGCTCTCTGGGCTCTGGACAAGTCTGAAAACACGTCATAACAAATGTATGCACAATGATTCAGTAAGAACAACCATACAAAATAATTCATTACTCTTTTACTCGACGAGGCTCAACGATTCATGCTGCCTTTTATTACGAGTATCGAATATTATTTCATACGACGATTCTTATTAATTCACTCTGTGTGTCATAAATAAAATTGTATCAGGTGTCAGGTCGGTGCGTATGAAAAATCGTTTCCTTCGTTGTTCGCGTCGAATTAAGACGAGACACTGGTCAGCGACAAGTACGATATCCTTTAAACAGCAGTGTGTTCGCTGAAGACAAACTGAAGATTCGATTCATGAAAACATCGAAGATCGTGCCGATACGCAAAATCATTCGAAACATCAGACGTTGTAACGCGCGTTGACAAAGTTCGACTCGTTTACCTGGATCGTAAATATTTCGTTTCGTATGAGAATCGACTATGAATCTTGCACGTACTCGAGACTGTTCGATCTTCATTTCGACACGCGACGTTGAACGTTTTTCGGTTGGAAACTGCGTTCCATACGCAGCAACCTCGAACCGATGAAATTGTTTAAAACGTGCAAGAGGCCCGTGGCAAAATAAGTCGAGAATCGATTCGCGTGTCACCGAGGATGCGAAACGGAACGAGATAAGAGCAGCTGTTACACACATGCAGACACGTATACCGAAGCATTATCGCAAGAGTAGCGGATCACTTACTTTTGGCAGCTGCTAAGAGAACTTGGACCTCTTTAACGAGCTGTTTGATCTGTTGGCTGGTCTTGTGCAATTCGCGCTCATGATAATGAAGGTTCTCTCGGAAATAGGGACTATCGGTTAAACAATCCGTAAACTCTAACGGTTTGAGGCCAATACCCATTATTCTTGATCGTGTATTAAAGTTCGAGTGTCATTAATGAGCCGAAACAACGGAGCAGACGAATCGACACTCGGTGTATACGCTAGAACTGTCGCGAGTACCGAAACGAGGACACGGTTCTGTCACGTTACGCACGTTCGCAAAGCAGTTCGACGAACGTTTCTCAACGCGACACAGCAGACTCGTGATACTCTATTCCTTTTATTATTGACAGTCATGAACGACACACGTACAGAATCCCTCGTTAAGCTGATACGAGCTGACGAGATCACGTAGAAGGGAACATCGCGATCTCGATTAAAGATTACATATACCCACGCCTCCAGTCGAAAACGTTAACTATCTTCGAAATGGCGGGACGCTCAAACTCGAATCATTCGCGAACCTCCCCGTACCCGTCCATTGCGTATCATCATTGAACGCGTATGCATATCGGCGTGATAGTCGTTTGTAAACGTGCCAAGTTGTCGTAAAACGCATGCACGGAGAGAAAATTTTCTCCCTGGTACTACGTATAATTGCAGTCGACAAGAGTTGTCGCTACGACACGATCTTTACAAGTATAGACGAGGTTTAATTCGAATTTGATTTTCATCCCTTAGAAATCGGTTCGTAAACATTTAAATTGTTTTTTTCTTTCAAAGATTAATAGACAATAAGTCAGAAGTCTTACGATCCAATCGGCAGTTACCCGTTCGTAACGATACGCGACGGTGATACCGTATACGCTTCGACGCGACGTAGGTTTACGATGCGTGTTTTTCAATTACGAGTATACAAATCTGCATACTAATCTCTCAGGTATACAGGGTGGGTCAATAATTCGAAGTAAATGATTTCCTTACCGATTTAACTGAAAGAACTTTTTTACGTATTTATCATCAGCTAACGGTCGTACGTTCTTGTGTTTCAACTGAAATGCATTTTGCAAGACTATAATACAAAGATCAATAGACAGAGAATAATTTCAAACAGTCCTTCGCATCAATTCATCCTGCTTAACCTTTTTAACGAACCACCGATCTTCATCGGAATATAAATACGGTACTTTCTAAATGAAATGTTCGATAGGCAAATCTCGAATAAATAATTCACGAAATAATTATTTTTACTGGCGTCCAAATACAATCTTAATAGCAAGATCATGTCACATACATCGTTACTGACAGATGAAAATTGTTACGTACAGTCCCGCAATAGCTCGTTACTTCAGAAATATCGATGAACAATGAAATAGACGTTAACTAATGTTAAAAGTTTTACAAACTTTTCCTTTCACACACGTAGAGATATCGCGTACAGTAAAAAGTAACCAATAATGACGGACCGTCGTACATCGTTACTCACCTAAAGGTACGAACAGTCGTAAAAAGTTGTGAGCAAAGTTCGGTTTCGTAATTCGTCCCGAAACTCGCACATCCCTCGCTTAATTATTCATCAAGCGGTTTCCGGCTGACATATCCAGACGTGTCACCATTCACAATACGCCGAAAGTTACATTTTACATTGACTAGAAACAAATATCGATCTTCGATAGAAAATGGCTGCGCTTTGAACTAAGCCGCGGACCATCGCGACCAATCGACGATTTGCTCCGAGAGCGGAAGCCTACAGACGGATTCTGACCATTTGTCGAGACGAACAAATACGAATAACAAAAGATAACGTTTTATCGATGTCTGACTGGAAATTTCATTCTTCATCGGGTTAAACTTCGTTTCTGAGAGATCTTTTTCAGTCGAAATTTATTACGTAGTGCATACTTTCTCGCGACGCGTTTTATCCGAATGTGAATGGAGTCTGCGAGACTTACGGTCAGATGTCGTCGGCATTACCAAATTGCAGACGCTTGGCGCCACTGTTCGAGTCGCAGGATCTATAGTGAGTTCGCCGCCTCTCTAAATTGCTCTCCCCAAAAAGATTTGAATCCTGTCGAGATTCGTCGAGACTGGCGATCTAGTTTCCGTGAATTGTATCACCGCGTGAATTAGTGAGCTTTCGTACTATACGCAGAAGTGTTTCTATTCCCGGATCAATCGTTAAATCGATCAACGATTGTTAACATATATTCGGCAATATTTTCGCGGCATAAGTGGCGAGCACCGTGCAATCGCGTGCCGCGTAAATCGCGTTATATCAGAGCTAGGATAAAACCCAGCGATTTATTAGCTATAGCATGAGTGATCCGGCTGTAACTGAGACTGTATACGGCATAAATAGTTAACTAATAAATAGCGTATATGCGATAGTTGGTGCGTTGGCTTTGGCGCTCAGTAGCGAAGGAACGAAATGCATGATGAGGAGAATCAATCCCTCGCTGCACGCTAGATGACGCTGAGAGGATCAAAAATGTTCTGGACATCTGTAGTGTATACCTGTGGATGTGGAGAAGCAGGCAAAGCCAAAACACCGTTCACTCCAAGTAAGTAAAGTGCAGACGTTCATGTAAATTCCCATTCTTATAAATACAATTAAAGAAATGAAACGCACATGAACTTTTGTCATCTGCTGTAAATATCATAAATTCCAGTTTACTTTTTGTATTTGTTTGCATACTAACGCATACGTATACTGTGTCTCTTTAAATTATTTAAAATTCAGGTAAACGTATAAACATCCGCGGTCTAGCAATGAGTAAAGAAATTCACTGTTTTCGGCATCTATTCGATCTCCCCATATTCCTTCAATACTGACAATGAACATGTTACTCCCGTTTTCGTAACTGTTTACACGTCACGTTCGTAATTGCATGAACGCGTGGGTAAAAGTCAGGAACGTCGTCTATTTTTCCGTCTGTAAAATTCTGCAAAAGGTATTTCGACGCGTACAAATCGGTCGATTATACGACCAGGACTCATCGTTCATCTGAGGATCCTTCGGGAAACTCGGTTCGATTTCAGTGACGTAATTAATTGACTCGGAATCCGATGGCTTTTTGCCTGATTACGTGTGCAGTGGTTACTTCTAGGGTAAATAACGGATGAATGAAAAATTGCTTCAGCTGTAAACTGACTGCGTTCGAAACTTTGTAACAACTATAAATATTGCGGCTCGACGTATGTAAAACGATCTTAAACTAATTTTAAGAGAATTCCATTTGAAGTAACGTAACTTATCGCTGTTCTATGTATCGTTACGATTTTAAATTTTGTATGGGACAGATAAAACAGGTCGCGCGTATTCTTTTTATTCACTTGGTTACTTCAACGAAGGAGGGAAACAGCTATTTTAGAAAGACAGTGGCAGGAGCGAGCAGTAAAATGAAAAACTGTCACCGTACCGAGCTGTTGAGAAACAGATAAGAAGACAGAAAGAAGTTGCAATGCGTTGTTCATTTGACCGATGCAACAGCGAACACTTCTTGAATCATGTCGGTTTTGAATCATCACTGAAGAATACATATATTCCGTTACGCATTGATATCACAATCAATGGAGGCGGATCGTGCGAGCTGAGACCGCATCACGATCGTATCTATCGGTCACAGTTTCGTCCCGTTCTCTCTCCGCGACCCGTAATTTCGTCCTCCTTTCGTCCTCCTCGCCGATCCTTACTCACGGCGATCGCTGCTCCTTTAATTTTTCGCTTTCCCTCCATTTCTCCTTGGACGGTCCAGTGTCGGACCTCGCGGAACCGCCAGTCTTCCGACTTCTAATCACCGCCAGAAATAAAGTTCGCTCGGTGTTAATTAGAATTGCTGTAGTCCTTCATTTCGCGCGATCCAGTAATTTTGAAAAAATCGATTTCCTTGAACGTTTGGAACAGAAATGCCCGGTTAAACCAGAAGATACATTGGCCAAACAGAAAAGTTTATTGTCAGGCAATTAAGTATGGAAGTACTTGCGTCTCATCACGCAGGGCCGAAAGGGTTAACGAGCTCGCGCGCGTAGCCGGTGCGCGTGAAGGAGCCGCGTAAACGAGAGGCGGAGCAACCGGCTCGAAGAGGTCAGAGGCCACTACCAATCGCAATCTCCCGATAACCACTCTCCTCCGCCGGCTCCTCTCCGTGGATCGTACTCTTTTTTCCTCTCTGCGCGGCGCGGAAAATCTGTGCGCGCCTCCTCCTCCTACTCCTCCGACGTTTCTCCGCGTTAACGGGATTCACGCTGATCACGATTATACGAGATACATTTTTTCCTACGTTTTTCTGATCACACCGATAAACGAAAAGTATGTTTGTTTCATTTTCTGGGAAATCTGTTAGCGACGCTAACTCGTCTTCTTGTATTGAATCTGAGAGAGAGAGAGAGAGTCGCGATAAAGCTGGCCAGTGGGACGAAATTGATCACAGATAATCTTCAAACAGTAAAATGTAAGACCGGGAATTTTATGGAATTATAAGAAAATTGTATAAGAAAATGAAAGAAAATAAATGTTGCGTGTGAGGTATAAAGAAAAGTATTGAGAACACCATATCGCCGAATGAGAATGGACATTTCAACATTTAGACGATCAAACAGATGTTTCAAATTGATAGCATAAACGTTCCATTTTGCATAAATATCTGCAGTCTATATAATAATCACGTTCCTTTCAGTCATCTGGTAAATAATAAGATCGTTCACACCTTTTATCCATTTGGCGATCGTTTGGAAACTGCGTGCAACATTCGAGACCTTGAAGTCAGCACAGATAAGCGGATTCTGTTGTACTTACACGTGTGTTTGGTCATAAAAGAGTAGGCGATCGTATTTAAAATTGACGAAGGGAATCGAATGACGCGATATCTCTCTCGGCTCGCAGTTGCGTCATCGCCTATTACCGTCCAGCATCCGATAGCGACGCGACGCGACGACGTGTGGCGTAAACAGCCGGTTTCCTCCGGCTCCTCTCTCTCTCTCTCTCTCTCTCTCTCTCTCTCTCTCTCTCTCTCTCTCTCCGTTACGCGCGATAAACACCGTAGAAAACATCGATCGAGCGGCTCGTCTCGCGACCGCTTACGAAACACGACTCTGCACGTACATAAGTAAAGTAAGTACTAGTTTTCGTTTCAACGATCGTCGATGAAAGAGCAGGAAACTTCCGCGTGCATCTTCTTCCGTTTCTTGATGAACTAATGCGCGTTCGTTGTGTTTCAATTGGCGGTCGCGGCCCACGCTCGCGATTCGCGTCGACCGAGGTCGGCCTGAAATTTCCACCATGGCTCCAGTGCCACAGATTTTATGCAAAGGACGACTGGACGTGGATAAAACGAAGAAGTTGCCATTTCGAGCAGAACAGACACCGTCTAACGAACGGGACGGCGAAACGTCGCCTCTTTGAATCGTGCATGATCACCGAGCCCGAAGAAGGGGTGAACGGTAGACCCTCGAACACAGATTCCAAAAACGTCTTCCGATTCTTGTCGCGATTTCGCGTCCCTGATGCATCGTTTACCGCGTATCACGTGGCCGCAAAAAGGGAAGGAGCGAGAATTTTTGAACGGCTGCCAAAAACCGCGACGCTCTACTACTCCCGAAAGAAAAAAGCCTCTCCACTCACCGCGCTCCGGGCCGTTTGTTTCTGCTGCCAAGTTAGATTTATCGAAATTCTAAGCATCCGGCTCTTGGCCCCACTACTTCTCTCTCTCTCTCTCTCTCTCTGTCTTACGGTCGGTTTTTGTTCTCGTTCGCCCTGCTACCCGTCCGACCCCGTGATTTATCCGCGTTTTATGCGCTTGCCTCGGGAGCGCCTCGCGATCTCGGAAATCGCGATCCGACCGCGAATCCATGTAACGCTTCTCGATTCCGTTTAGCTCGCAAAGTAACCGGTACAAATCTCGTCCCCCTCGAACGTCTCTCACTCTCGATACGATCCATACGGCACGAAGAACGCGTAATCTTCTCTGGCTCCTGCTCGCGCGAAGATTAACTCTCAGATACTGTAACGAGCGCAACGTCGCGGGCCGATCTTTAAATTGTCTGACGGTCATAATTTCTCGATTGAACTCAGTTCTAAATAAAAAGGAGCGTTCCATTGCGTTTGTTGTTGACATTTTCGATACGAACACGCGATTAACACATGAATCCGCGTTTTCGCCGAAGACGCGGAGGGGATCGGGCGTAGCACGAGAGACGGCGCGCGCGTTCGCGAGCATTCCTTCACGAACGTATTTCAATATAAACAATCGCCGGGCAAATTTTCCCTGACGCACGGCAGTGATTTCTGGCCGACGTGACGGCGATGCCTCCGTCTGCGAGCGCGACCCCGCGTGCCCTCGCCGAAGAGGAACGCGACTCGTTTCGATTCTTCTTTAAAACCTTCCTAGCCCCCCCCCCCCATCCCTCTCGGCTGCCCGGCTGGATACTACACACTTGCCCGTCTCCGCTGCCACTCTTCTTTAAGACCACGTCTTCCCGTTTCGTGCTTCTACCCTTCTTCCTTCTCCTCACCTGTTCCTATCTTCTCTTCTTAGCCGCCTCGACGTGGAATTCTGCGATTTTTACACAGCGAAACACTTTCGTTTCGTTTCCGTCGGTTTTCCGTACGATCGTCACGTCTGACGACGTTCCGTTTTCGTTCAGCCCGGCCAATTTATTTTAGGCCATCCTAACGGACGAGGAAATTATTTGGTCTTCCGTCTAATTTCAGTGAAAAACCTGATCGCGTTCGAGATCGTCGAAACGTGAATCACTTACCTTCTCTCTTTCGCACGGTGGGACGAATAGATGGATCTAGGCGGAACACCGAACGACCAACTAAATACATATGTCCCACTTTTCCTCTTTTCATTCGTCCCACTGTCCCTTGGCTTCTCTTCTCGCAGTGACGATTAAAACGACGCAGGACTCCGTAATTCTGACATATATATTTCTTTACATTCATACGTATATTCGCGTGTTATATTCGCACTTACGTTCGTATTTATATCTGTATCTTTATATTTATATATAATATGTATATATATATTAATTATGTACATGTCTTTTTATACAAAAATCTCACGCCTTTATACATAACGCTACAGCGGATGTCGTTCCGTTTTCATCTCTCTCCGCACGTTCAAAGAGACAACGCGATTCATCCTCGATATAATACAATTCCATCACCGATTCATTCGACGAGTCGATTCCATTTGGCAACGAGTTCCTCAATCGACATCGCATTGAAAACTGTGAATAGAAAAACGGTTTGTCGAAGCTCCTGGGCGTCTTGGTTCATTTCCATTACGTCGCACCGAAAACTTGTTGCCAGTAATGGTAAAATCGTTTTGTCTCAAAGTTCCAACGAACTCTGTTCGAAACGCTTTTCTCAAACAAGTTGTACAATTATCGATCGGCTGTGATCGCATCGCTCTCTCATCTTCATTTGTCGCCGTGTGTGTATGTATGTGTGTGTGTGTGTGTGTGTGTGTGTGTTCACGCGTATGCGTCACTTGCGGGACTTGACAAACGAATTCGCGACTCTTAAAAATATTAGAAATATCCCATATACCCCTAAGTGGTTTTCTAAGTAACTAGCTCGACGTCACGAGATCCGTGGCGCGCAAAATCCTATAGTACAATGCGTCCGTTTCTGGCTATCGTACAGTATTTATATAGGGTAAAAAAGCACCGTGTTTCAAAAATCCGATTACGGTTCTTCGCGTGTATATCACATTGCGCCCGCCGAGGTTCTCCTCGCGCCAGTAGCGTCCGTTCTCGTTGGCCGGAGTAGCACGCGATCGGGCGAACGTTCTTCCAAGAAAAATATATTCGTTCGCCCATACGCGGAATCGACTCCGTTCCCACCTCCTCGACTCGATCAACGATTCGTCCATTCTAATACGTTTGTGACCGCCGACTTTCATGCGGAATAAACTACAAGTGCCAACAACGTCTCTCCGTTTGTATAATTTTCTTCTAAACGCCTGCGAATACGCAGACCTTGATTCACGATCGAACGCGATTCATTCACATATTCCGGGATTTCACGAAAGAACGGTGAACGAACAAAGCAGGGAGCAACGGAACGTCGAAACTGCGGATTCGATGCATTCACACAGAGAAATCGTACGTGCCGTAAGGGACGCGTAAAATTCTGTAGATCGACCAAAGCATCGCTACTTCGATAAAAAAAATTTAAATTCGGATCGAACGTTTCGTCTCGCAGAAAAATCCGCGGCCTACGAACGACTCTCGGGCTTTCGGCGTGACTCGACTAACGGCGGCGATTACTCGACGCGAAGATCGATGAGAGATATTCGGAGGATCCACCGGATCCCCCGCTGCCGATTACAAATGCTAATTCACGATTTCTTCGCTGCCACGTTCACCGCTGACACACCTCGTTTCTCTCTTTGCTCGCTCATCTCTCGAATTTTCCCGTCGAAACGGTCGAGACCCCAAGCAAGAATACTCGTCCGCACTTGGCGCGCGCGTCGCCGTAAAAAAAATTCTACCGAAGCGTCCTTCGCGTCTTCCCGAAGATCTTCCGCTGCACCTGAACGGTCCGGGTGGAAATTCCCTCGTCGAACCTACACGACGATACCCATCGTGCGCGTTTGGCGTATACGCGTGCGTTCGAAATTTCTTCATCTTCCGCAGACGATCTTCCTTGATGACTCCTCGGTTCGACGGTGTCCGCCGTCCTTCTTCGAGCTCGTCCGCGCCTCGGTTCTTCCCTCGAGTCGCGACGTCGCCGCTGGTCCGACGCAAGCAGCTTCTGCAGCACGCCAGCGATCCTCGAAGACTGGTTCCGCTTCCGAACGGCGTTCCTCCCTCCGAGGGGTTCAACGTCCGTCCGTGAAAATGCAAAGTGCGCGCTGTCCCGCGTTTCGGCTCGACGGAAGGAGCGGGACGAGGCGATATTACGCGGAAGCTAGCTGTCGCCAGACAGAATGTCACATCGTGGACATGTACGGCCAGTTGAAGCTGCTACCGCTGAGCAGCATGTCCCTGATCAACGTCTCGATCGGCGTCTTCCCGACTAGCCGCACGAAGAACAGCTGCTCGATCACCTGCGACGACACCGTCCGCAGCGACGGCAACCGCAGCAGCAGCTTACCGAATCTTGTCGGCTGGTTCGGGTACTGAGTCCTGCAGTATTCCTCCAACGCGCACTGCGACTTCTCTTGCAGGGACTCGATGTGCGCCACGTCCGATAGTCCGCAGGCGTCTGTAACAGCAAAAGATTTCATCTTTTCGAGTCTTTTTCATCTGTTCGACGACCGGTGCGCGAATTTTTACGCAGAACAAAATCGTGTAAGCGCGAAATTGAGCGCGATTGATTTCGCGAAGACCGTCGACGTCTACTGTTCTTGGATTTCGACAACGGAGTCACTCGTAGCGATTCGCTGATTGGGAACGGGTCGGCGGAGGAGTGTCGTGCCGTGACGGAGGCATTTGTTCGTTACGAGAAACAATTATTAGTGCGTGGGCGTAGGACTGCCCACCCTTCTCCTCGCTTTCTCTCTTCTTCTGTTTCAGCGTTAAATCTGTGTACGACCATCGGTTGACACAGCGACAAATTATAATTCGATGTCTGTTATAAGAGCCAGTCTGAACGCGTGGTCGGCGGCGATCCTCTCCGACACACGACCTCACAATAGTTCTCACATCGAGGGAGTAGTTCTATTGCTAGTGGAGCGAAAGGGGTAGATTCCGACGAGGCCGAGTCACTCAGAGAATTTGCCGAGCATATGCCGAATTGGTCGGACTTTCGACCTGTCTAGCACTCCGACCGATCCTTCAAACCGACACCGTAAAGCGTACGGAATTCGCGGTCCACGTTACAAATCACTGAAAGTTTCATCGACCGATCGTGTAACGAGATCACGCGATTAATCGAATCAGAGATCTGTAGGACGAGACAAGAAGGAAGCGTACTGTGCGTCGACGTCGAGGTGGTTTCAACGGGTGCAGAGCCTCGGGCAAGCAGACACGCAGTCGAATGAGACCCGAGCCCGGGGTGGTCGTCCCGTTGGAATGCGTGCCAACTACGTAGAGGAGGAACGACCACGACCACGACGGCGTAGCCCCGTGCGAGCGTCGGACTAATCACGCGGCCGACTGGTGTCCCTTGATTTCTTTTTTCTTCACCCTTCCCGCGCGAAACTCACCGCCACGCTTTACGCGCCACTATTGTTTCGTCTCTCCTCGAAAATCCGTGAAATTCCCTTCTCCACGCCTCTTCACAGATGTATCTCGAACGCGTGCAAATATTTTCCGTGTCCGCTGATCTCTCAGATGAAAGGAACATCGATTTTCTACTGTTTCGAGTTCGTAACGACATAATCGTTTTCATAGGAAAAGGAAGATATTCGACGAACGACGTTGGAACGAAGATGTCTATTTCTACATTTTCCAGCATAGTTCGGAATTTTCATCCAGAACAGAATCGACGCAACGCTTTGACCTACGCATTTTATACGAGTGATCGAGCGACACCCAGCTGACACAGACACACCACCCTGTTCGACGATAAAAGTTACACTCGACTACGATCGGTCAACGATCATTGTTTACGACCACTATTCATAGTCAATAGAACGAAGGACGAGAAGAAAGAGAGTAGAACGTAACGATTAAAATTTCGTTCGAATAAAAATCGCGGCATCGTTCGAACAGGATTAGACGATCGTCGTTTCCTAACAACGGTATATCTGCTCGGTCTTTAGCACGAACCCTGCTTCGATCATGCGAGGTCTCTCCGGGCATGCAAATCGCATTATTTCCATACGTACGCGTAATGGCCCATTACGCGCACGTGGCGGCCTGCGAAGGAATCCAACGATAGCTCGTGTCGCAGGGAAGTACGCGGATAAGTAGTTGCCGTGCCGTACACCCTCGTCCACGAGTATATGTATCTTCTCACGAATATCTGCCACGCACCGTCCACTGTCTTCAGAACGTCTTCCCTTGCATCGGGTCCGGGGCGGGAAGGTAACGTCGGTTCTGATAACGACGCTGTGCATTCAGGAAATTACTTTCTCCAACGACAGATCGGGTGTCCAGGGTTACTCGTGAAGAAGAAGAAGAAGAAGAAGAAGAAGAGAGTACCGCCGCCAGTTTTCGATTCGAACATTCGTAAGAGGCGCCTGGTGTTTCAATTGTGGCAGCGAGGAATCCGCCAACGCTCGGCTAATAAACAAACCGCCGGATTGGCTCTCGGACGTCGTCAGTGCCAATTCACCGCATCAATTCGAATAATGCCGTTGTTGAGTGGCGTCTCCCGCGCCGTTTCCCCTCGTCCGTACTCTCGATCACGATTTCTCCCACTGCCGTTCGTTCGCGTTAACCGGTTAAATGCCCTGGCGCCTCGTTGACCAATCTCACTAAATTGACCGATCTTCACCGCTGCTGCCAACTGTCTCTCGATCTCTTCCTCCCGTTCGCTCGTTTCGCGTCGCGACTGCCAGACAAAATCTTCGTTCGAAGATCGTCGGTTCGTCAGATGCATCGGATCTCGGTGAAACAATCGGAGACGCCGCTTTTCATCGAGTCGAGTCTCTAACGACAAGTCTTACGTTTCACGGACGAGCGGGAGGAAGGGTCGTGAGCTCGAAGAGGGCCTTCCGACCGTCTCTCGACGTTCTTTGCCCCTTTCCGTCGAACGGGGATTTTATGGATATATCAACGCGACCGTAGCTGTAGAAATTCGAAGAAATACCGGAAATCTTGCGAGCAGATGCGCGTCGCAACGGTCGAACGATAAGAGATACTTGGACCCGACGTGCATTCTCTGACCGCCGTGAATGTTTTATTTTGCACAAAGATTCGCAGTCCGTTTGTTCAAGATCGATCGATCTTGGTCGGTCCGAACTTGGCGAGACGTTAGAGACGATGGCTTTCTGTTCGGATCGCGCGAGTCAAGTGGCCGGAGCAACGCGACGAGTCGAAGCGATTCGGCCGGGTTTTTAAGACGCGCAAAGCTCCTCGGTCCGGTTCACGGGTGAACAGAAAGAGGAGTCGAGGTTGCGTTTAAAGAGAACGAGATACGAGCGAGCCGGCGAGAATGGACCACGAGTGAAAGGAGAAAATAGACCGAGCGAAGAGAAGAGCTGGTCAGGGATGGAGAGGGAGGGAGGGAGGTAGAGAGAGTGGCAGAGATTCTTTCATGCCCTTCGGAAACGTCATATAGCTGTCGGGTGCCGCGGAGGCAATATTTCACGCCGGTAGGCCCGCCTGTCCTCCTCCCGGCTCCTCTCCTACAGTTCCTACACTTTTCAAGGAGTTTTTACGGAGTCTCTCGATCTTTAATCACAGCTCGACCTTCCATTGTCAGTGACGTCACCTCCGACTCGGAAAGGGTGTTCGGGGGATGCTTTGTGTCGAGCGAGACCCGCCGATCCCTCTCCTCCCTCTCCCTCTGCCCGTCATTTGTCTCACCGGCTCCCTTATTTGTAACCGCGTACACGATCGAGATCCCACGCCTCCGCGAGTACGAACTCGCTCGGAAGTAAAATCGCCGACGATACCTACTTCCAACTTTTTAACTAACCTTCGCATCGTCGATGTTCGTTCGAAATCACGTTCGAAGAAATTCATTCCGTTCATACATCTCTCGTTTCAATCATCTACCGATGTGACTCTTTCAAAATGACCAGACTGCAGACCCGACGCGCGATACGCAGAAATATCGTTAGACGTTGTTACCAGATGTCTGCGTTCCTCCAATCGACGAAAATTTCATTTCGTATAAAAAAAAAATGAGGCTCGTTCACCGTTTAATTCGACACACAGGGAACCGTCCCGGACGGAACGGAGCACGTCATTCGTCTTTCGAAGCATCCCGACGAGATGCGCTCGGCCGAAGACGTGTTCTCTCGTCGCTGATTCGTAAAATCGAGGGATTATCGCGAGCGCGGGCCACGTAAGCCGGAACGCAATATAAGACCGCTATGCGAGACCGAACAAAGAATCCCCCTATCGATCCTGCCTCGAAACCAACTTTTTTCTAAATATCCTCCCTCTCTCTCTCTCTCTCTCTCTCTCTCTCTCTCTCTCGATCTCTCGATCTCTCGACGTCTCCTGTACGGAGTCGAGGAGATCTCGCGTACGGAGTCGAGGAAGAGGCAAGTCTGTTCGATACAGAAGCCACCGAGTGGTTTCACTTCAGACCAGACAGTGTTCGATTCGGTTAAATGTCAGAGTAGCAAATCCAAACGGTGACCGATCGAACGGAGAGAGAGAAAGAATAAAAAGGCAAGAGAGCGGGCATAAGGAAAGTAAAGTAAATTGATTGAAAATTAAAAACAGTCGAGATGCAGCAGAAATCGACCGAATTCCACGTTCTGCAAGGCACGTGATTTTCATTTCCGCGAAACCGACGTAAAGAAAGCGTCTAGAGAAAGACCAGCAGATCAATCAGCACGCCCTTGGCAGTTACGCAAGTTCGACAGACTCGATGGCGTCTCGAGTGACGAATCGACCATCATACAAGTTTAAGCTGTACGTTAAAGATAATGACTTTTGGACAGTGTCTCTCGGTTTCATAGATATAGTAATTTCACGATTTCATTTGTCGTCGACAAATGAGAGATCGTCTTTCACTCTCGATTGAGGAGTTAAATTCTAACTGAAAAATCGATTATGCACCTACATATACATATTACCAGTCTGCGTTCTATTCTATGCATCACACGCGATGTAAAACACAGAGGCAATAAACTAATACGATTCCTCGCGTAGACGTTCTCAAATCGAGTTCGTGTCGTAATCATTCACTGACCGTATCTTCTATTACGTCAGAGTATTAAATTTCGCACCGATGCGCATTGAATTCTTCTAAAAGCTGTATAATTGATTCGTCCGTCGAGGACATCTCACTTTTGAACGTCGATGAGATCCTCCCTGTCTGTGCATGATCACGATCGGGACGTTTTTGTACCAATTCGCACGATACGGTCTGCCGTTTCGGAACGAGCGAGGGTGAACGAGGTGAGAGAGGAAACATCCTCCTCGGAACATAATGGGTGCTCGTACACAGAGGAACGCGAGGGCGCGAGGCACGATTATCATAACAAGGCTCGTATTTGGAGACAAGATGCCACCTCGACCCTATCGTCCGCACGAATCGCGATGCGACGCGACACGCATTTAATCGACGTACGTGCCTGCTACTTACGACCTAAACCGTACCGTTTAGGATCTACATTGTCATGTTAACGATCCCCG